GAGCTGACATGTTAAATAACGATGAAAGCCCCTAAATAAATAAAGAGTAAAAGAACCATAATTATTCAAAAAAGAAATACATAATGAAATAACAATTGGACCTTATTTTGAAACACCACATCAATTAAAATTTATTTTCGACACTTGAGACGCGTGAGATAGAAGTACAATTTGACCATCTCGCCGGCCCAACGGGTAGCACTGGGTTTAAGATGAGGAGGTCCCGGATTCAATTCCCAGTAAGATTTTCAATCAATCATCAAATCAATGTCAATCAATCAAATCAAGTTTCTCAAATCAATTTGAGAAACTTGAGACCAGGTAATTGGTATGGTTTCTGGTACATTATTATTACTATCTAGTCTACATCTGTGTCGCACTTCCGTCGATAAATTCGAAAAGGTTTTCGTATTCACCGCCACTCACGTCGCGTCTAGCCTTTTCCCAAATTCGAAAAGGTTTTCGCGTCTAGCCTGTTCCCATATTCCCATATCACGACTATCTGTCGTGACTGTGTCGTGGACGTTTATTTTATCGTTGAACGACTGTCGTGTCTAGCTGTTCCCACTAGATCGTGAGGACAATTTATCGGTTCACGGCAGCCGCCTTGTTGTTTGCACGACAGAACGTTTGAATCTGCGATTATCTGTCCTCACATTTTTTATCGTGACATTTTAATTATCGTCTGACGACTGTCGTTCTAGCACTTCGCATTGTCACGACAAATTGTCGTCATAACGTAAAAAAAGTCGTGAACGACAGATAATCTTATTGTACTGTATGTGAACAACTTGATTGGAACATAAAAGGGAACGCGCCTAATAACCTATGATGTCCTTGAGCTGAGTTAACCTCCGATCAGCTGACTTTGCGCGCGCGCTTGCCGGTTTCTTGTTATGATTTCGAGTAATTTAGTAGTAAGTAGTCCTGCACCGCCCACCACCGCATTGGTATCATTGATAAGAAACTTAAGTTGCAAATTTTCTCTTCATAATTTTACAGGCTTAGGACTGTCATATTGAAAAAGGCTTGTGCTTTTCTCTTGCAATGTAATCCATTAACATGGTTTTGAGTATGTAAAGGTGTAAATTGGGCATAGCCTAGCCGTTGTATAACTATTTAAATAAATAGTTTGACGATTGGGTGTCCTTGCGTTTTCGACTCCCTGATTGCGAAGGCATGGTACACTTTTCTACTCGGTACAGTCTCTGGGCTCCCCGTAAACTTTCACGACTTAAAAAGTAACTCCTCACCATTTCGTAGTATTCGCGGTTAGAGTAGAGAATGTACCTACGTACATTGTGGCTTTTAAAAGCGGGGCGAGGTGAATACGTCGACGGAACTAGTAAAGACAGCTGCGTAACTTCTGTTCGAAAGGAACGTGCGCTTGCGACTGAAAAAATGAATGCCGGTTGCTCCAGCGGGTCGTGCACCGTGGAGGATTCTCTTCCTCTCGCCACTAATAGCAATTTTTTAGACAAATGATGCTTTTGAATGATATCTAATGCGTAGAAAAAAAATTGGCTACTGATAAAAAAGTCAAAGCCTATATAAGCAGTGATCGGAATTGAGGGAGTTAATTTAGCTAAACTAAAAAATATTGTGGACATTCCTTTCTACAAATCTCGCGACTTCCCGGAACTTATAATAAAAATTATAAAAAGAACGGAGATTATATTGGAATAAGCGTTTTATAGCAATTTTTTATACATTAACGACAAATTTTATTATTTCCTATTAAATATTTGCTACAATTTATTGTCTCAGATAATAATATTGTATTGTGTTTCTTCCTACTTACGTATTAAAATATTAAAATTGCGTATTTAAATAAAATAAGACTCAACGACGATATTACGAAACACCACCATATCACGATTATCATTTTTGCACTCCAAAGTATGCTACTTTTAATATATATGTATGTTATTAAATCAGGCATTTTATATAATTTTTTGCGGTTTTGTGCGAGATAATTGACAGATAGTAGTCATAAATAATAAAGCGAAAATGGCGGTCTGAGCTCGAGTATGCAGAACTCCACGTACTGTTGGCACGCGTGTCACGCACACTAAGCACTTCTACTGTATTTATTGTTCTATGCATATTATTGTAAAGGAGTTGTTCCTTTAGTGGTACTAACATAAATGGAAAATTTAACCAGGCTATTAGTTGGTTTTTTGTGACAAGCTCTCAAAATCTAGAATGTCTGAATTAAAAACAAATTATTTTTGACCTGCAATTTCCAGAAAATCGTAGCGGATTTTTAATACTATGTAAAGTAAAAAGGAACGCAATCCCACGAAACGGAATGGATTTTTATTTAATTTTTTGGCTAATTGGCCAGTGGCCAATGCCATAAAAAATATTGACAGATCAGATGTCAAGGTCATTCTTATTGCAATTTAATTAGCCAATTAGAATTAGTATATTTGAATATTTTGGCGTTTAAGTGTTGCTGCTTTTTGGACTATTCTTAGTATCGCAGTATTGCTGGAATTAATTTAACATATCTACCACACTTTTGTTTTAAATAAATAAATAAAAAATGTAGGTCACAATAATTTTTTTAATTATTTTGCTTAGCTCTTTATTTTAAGCTTATATCTTGCACAAAAATTCAGGCTGGTTAAATTTTTCTGGGAATAAAATACAAAGCTCCATACTAATTCGGTACAAGTCTTTCCTATTTTTCTCTCAGGTGTTTGTTGGCAACATTATTATGACATCAAGTGACGGTACGTACAAGTCGTGTGTCTAGCGACGTAAGACGTAGCGTAAGCGACAAGCCTGTCCATAACAGTTGCAATGCCACTCAGAGTTTTAAATCACAAAGATCTGAAGGACACTGCCACTGCGCTCGTCACCCTGAGACATAAGTTGACTAGACCCATGTGCCTGTAATTTCACCATTATCCTTACCCGTCAAAACCGAAACGCAGTGATGTTCAGGTTACTGCTTGGAGGTAGAAATAAGTAAGGTGGCAGTACTAATCGAATTCCTTCACGAGGAGTTTTACTGCCACTAAAGTAATACACAGTAATGATCAAAGTATTATATACAGAGTGGAAAAAAATCAATATAATAATAATATAATTCTTTAATCAGACAACATTTCATTATTAAGGTCGGTTTACTTAAAGGAAACATTGTTTTACTTTTCTTAATGTCAATAAGTGCATTCACAGAATTTTTTAAAAAGCTATCTTGAACCGGGAATCGAAACAATAAATAAGGATATTTCTTTTATAACACCAAGTGACGGGACGAACAAGTCGTGCGCGTCTGGTGGTAAGCGGCACGCCTATCCATAACAGTTGCAGTGCCATTCAGAGGTTTAAATCGCAAAGATCTTATAGGCACTGCCACTGAGCCCGTTAGCTTAAGACATAGGTTAAGAAGTCCCACGTGCTTGTAATTTCACCAGCACCCTTATCCTTCCAAACCGGAACGCAGTAATGCTCACATCTCTCCAATAAACATTGGGTAGTTAAGTAAAATTAGCTATCTTAAGCATTTAAGGTACTTTAATGTCCCATTGATTTTTTCCACCCTGTATATGTAGTTATAACAACATTAAAAACTTACCACTATCAGCAATCCTCTTAACTCTCGCAGACAGCGTCTTCGAAGGCACTGAATAGTGGACCGAGGCCTGAGTCCTTGTCATGCGGCCAGTTCTGACTGCCTCGACGGCTTCGCGGAGTTGGTTCTCAGAATATTGTTTGTAAGGACGACCAGTTGCCTTGCGTTTGCGTTTTGAAATTCGTGGTTGTACTGTTTGAGCTGTAGAGTACAAAATATGCAATGAGAAATTGGATTAAATTTTTAAATACAATATGGGACCGCTTTTATAATATATGTGTAATAATAATAATGTGAAACCTTCTGCGTATTTGGATGACAAAAATCCATGGTAGTGACCTATTTAGCGTTTTCAGGTTGTATCGATTATTACTTTATCAAGATCATTAGAACAAGATTTTAAGATACAAGTTCTACTGAAAGACCCAACAAAGACTGACATCTCGCAAAGTTTGTCTAAAATAAAGACCAGCGAAGGGCCTTAGATGGGAGAGACTGAGATAGGCTCGTGATGGATAGCATTTAACTGGGACTGGTGATTATGAAAATAGACGTAGGGTGCTGTTCCATCACCAAAGTTGTGGATATTACAAATTTCAGCGCGAAGCGAAGCAAAAAAATCTAAAATATACCATGAACAATTTTGCTTATCCGTAACTTAGTAACGTATATAAGTAAAATGTTTATAATCTGTACATAACATAATACTTATAGTACAGTCGGTGCGCAAAACGACGAGCCATAGATACAAAAGTTGAAGTCGACTTCACTTAAGTAGGTATCCACTATTTGTACGAAGTGTTATACAAATAGTGGCTACATAAGTGAGGGCACCGACTATACATATATTATCTTCGTTTTTTTTCTTATACAAATATATTCGGCATATTATAATTGTTGATTTCGAACAGCCTGTATTCGCGCGTATAGCGTTGAGAGTAGAACTAGTTTCCTTGAATCAGCGTTCTGCTGCGGCAATAAGCCGACGGCTTGCATAACTTTTTGTTAACATTAATTGCGTTATTTTTTCCCGTAAAATGTTTACATTTAATAAAATTGTTAATTTACGCATTATTGTTAGAGAAGTTGCAACACTCATACAAATTGTTTAGGTTTAAGAGTGTAAAGTAAATCTGTGTTAACGTTTTTGTAATTATTAAATAAATTAAAAAATATACAGCGTGTCCCAAAACTCATCGATAACCTGGGAACAGGATGTTGCCTAGTTCGTAACAACCCAGAAAAAAAATATTTAAAAAATCGGAGACTTTTTTTGTGATATCTTATATCGTTCTTCTTATATCTTATATGTTATATCGTCTTATATCGTTTCAATGAAAAATTTTGCAAATGTACGCCCTTTACACGAGATTTAAGTGCTATAATTACAAATTTGCTAATTTTGCTGTTCTAGTTTTTGTAACGGTAACCCAAATAACCCAGTTAATGAACACAATGCCAAAAAAAGTCCGAATTGCTAAAGGTTCAGCACAAAAAATAATGTATTTAATTTTTTCCTCGAAATTTTCAGCAATTATTTTTAAAGGTAACTTTGACACCCCATACTGTAAAAAAACGTACCTTGACTACCGTTGCAATTTCTTACAAAAGTTGGCGCAACTAATCAAAAATAGTATTAAACCTTCTGCGTCATGCTTCTTGGAAAAAAATTACCTTGGTTTTTCTAAAAAGAGGCCAATTTTAAAAATATTACCTTTTCTAAGTGAAAATGGCTTCAGTGCCTCTAAGGTTAATTTAAGTTTCATATCCGGTGCATTGCACCGGTTGCTGCCCAACGTAGGGGGCCCTTCGGAGGAAGTTCGCCGTTTATATGGTGGGGTGGTGCGATCCGTGACCCTGTATGGGGCACCCGCCTGGTCACACCGACTGACGGGCGTCCGGCGTTGCAGAGCCATGTTCAATGGCGTGCAGCGCCGCATGGCCATAAAGATCGCATGAGGATACCGCATTGTATCCTTTGACGCGGCGACTGTCCTGACGCGGTTTCCCCTGCTGGACATTCTGGCGGAGATGGACGCTCGTACTTACGCGCACCTCCGCCAGGCGGAGGAACCTGTGTCGCCTGAAGTGCCGTAGCAGGAGCGCCGACGGGCGTTCGAGAAGTGGCGCGAGAGGCTGGAACTCCCGTGGATCTCTGCGAGCGAGCTGTCGGCGCGATCCTGCCCAACCTCGAAGTCTGGTTGAGCCAGCGGAAGTGCGTCACCACGTCCCGACTGACACAGATACTCACCGGGCACGGATGCTTCGGTGAGTATCTGAATCGGGTCGGACGCGAGACAACGACACTGCGTCGTCGACTTTGGGAGGGACCAGGATTCCGCCCAGCACACGCTGGAGGAGTGCCCCGCATGGGCCTCCGAGCGGAACATCCTGGTTGCCCGGTTCGCGCGAGATCTCTCTCCGGCAGACATAGTAGCGGCTATGTTGGCGGATCAAGAGTCCCATGAGGCAGTGGTCTCCTTCTGTGAAGCGATGATGCTTCAGAAGGAGGTCGCCGTGCGTACGTGCGAGCATGATAGGGAGAGAGCTGATGCCGCTCGGCGACAGCGTACCTTCGCGGCTGCGGGCGATCGGAGCGGGGGCTTCGTTCGCCAGTAAGTTAGGCAGCCGCGAGGAGGACGACCGACGGGGCGGTGTGGCCAGCTTCGTCGTGAGGAGAGGAGGGGGAGGACGGGACGTAGCTCTTCTTAGGTGCTGAGGAGGTGCGCAAAGTCGATCCCGGATCCTTCCCACTAGAGCACCCGAGAAAGCCATCGTGGAGTTTTAGCCGGTAGAAGCCCGGCTGCCCTCCCGCTGCCCCCGCGGCGGAGAGGTATCCCAGGAGGATTTCCCCACGCAAAAAAAATTTTTCATATCCATGTAGTCGGAGTTAGTCTGACTGGCAAAAATAAGTGAGTATGCTTGAGTGAGACAAACAGTCTCAAAATTCCACATTTCTCGACAGATGTAGGAATTTAAATAAAACTAATGAAATTGCAAGTGCTCAAACTGTTTTCCAACGGCATCAATGCACGGCAACGCCTTAAAAGAGACTTTTTCATCAATCGTGCATATCGTCGTAAACTCCGTGTCCGATTTTTTAAATATTTTTTTCTGGGTTGTTACAAACTAGGCAACACCTGTTCCAAGGTTATCGTTAACTTTTGGGACAGCCTGTATATGCCAAACATCTTTGGAGTGGAATACCTTACTTGCAGACATATTTCCTGGACGCTATAACTTGGACCTTTTCAAGGCGAGAGTGAATAAGCATTATTTAGGTGAGCGTGCTCCATCGACGACCTCATCGTCACTTTCCATCAGATGAGTTGGAGGTGAAATGCGCACTTAATGTATCATAAAAAAAAATTAAAAAATACTTACCTTTCTTAGCATCTTCATCGTCCTCCAAAAACTCGATTTCAAAGTACTCCTCGTCCTGAGAGCTGACCGAGTCGTCCGGTACATAGAGATCGTCGTCTTCATCATCTATCAGACTATCTGCATGTTCTGTTTTGATGTCATCTTCATCTTCGGCCTGGATGGACACAATTATTAATATACAGAATATAATCACTCATTGCCATCGAGTATATAACCAGAAACAGAGCCGAAATAAGGGCCATCCCTGGCAAATGGGCCTTATATCATTTTTAAATATCAACTCTCGTTTGCGCTGAAATCAGAAATTGGAAAGCTGAAATAGTACAGCGCCAACAACTGACCTGTGTGTATGTGTCCACATATTCCAAAAATATTCTGTATTTATTGTGATAATGTGATCTGAAGAAGGTCGCGGGTAGTGGTTGGAAGCGGAAAACTGGTGATCGGGCACTGCCATAGTATACTTGGGGGGGCTTATGTCCAGCAGTGGACTGCAATAGGCTGATTGAATGATCTCAAATAACGTCAATTTACAATTTAGTCACGTAGTTGTGGCAAACTAGGTGATGAATCCGGTTTTGTGCCCTTTCCGGTAAACAATTACAATAACACTTGACAAATAGATGTACGATGATTCCACAAACTTTTCAGGTATGTTGTTCTTTTACAAGAAAGATTATACTTATAATAAAAACACACAAGCTCAGCTATTTTGCATGGTTTAACCTCCGCTTTCTTTATATTTACTAGGCGAGCGGCTAATTAATTTACTACCATTTTTATTTGTGTAAATTACCTGTATAAGGAAGAATTCTTCTTCCTCCTCTTGTACTTCTTCTTGCTTTTTAATTTCTATTTTAATGTTTTTGTCCCTTTTCTCCTCTTTTGGTTTCTTCAAGTGCTGCACTCGTAAATTGTATTGGAACTGGGTGTTGGTTTCAGGACTTTTCTGATCTGTAATTGAGAAGGAAAGAAAGAAAAATCAATCAATTGAGTCACATTACACATTTTACTCCAACACTTAACACAAAATCAACAAGTTATTCATGCTAGAGTTATTTTTAGGTCAGTAAATATGCATAGTGTAAAAGCTATTGTAGCCATTAACCAATTAACCAAAACATAACGGCTGTTTTCAGCACCAGTTATATTTCAATTTATTGATATTAACTGCCTGTCGACAACGAATATCAAAATGAACATTATTCCAATTGGATAAAGCACAAAATTGTAGTTTTATATATGTGGCTTTTGTAACAATAAGACAATAGATAACAATATCACCTCAGTACAGAGTGGAATTATCTTTTTGCCAAGTTTTATGGAAGGAAAGTGCGCGAAACCGGATTCATCCCTAGTTTGAGACCATTAGAAAATATTTTCTTCAAATTTAAATGGGATTAATACTAAGGTAATAACTGCCTCTGTGGCCGAACGGTTACCATGCCGGACTGCCACGCAGAGGTCCCAGGTTCGATTCCCGGGCCGGGAGAAATATTTGTATGACCTACATTTGTTTCTCTCGTGAGTTTGGGTGTAATTTGTGGTTGCCTATATGTGTGTCCATGGCACCCGCGACACAGGGTTTCCCTAGTGCGGGGCTATGTTGAGTGTGTGTGTTATTATTATTATATTATTATTATTATAAGGTACCCTCTTTCCAACAAAAAAGAATCATCAAAATCAGTTCACAAATTTAGATAATCCTCACGTAACATACATAAAAAAATACAGTCAAATTGGGACCCTCCTCCTTTGTTTACTTTTTGTTTAAAATGGATTGGAACAGACTATAATTAAAAACAAAAATAAAAAGAATAATGCATTGCATAATCGGTTGCTGTAATAATGACTAATTGTAATTGAATGAATGCGACCAAATTAATGTCTACATTGACATTGTCAATTTTAGACATTGAGTATATAGCCAGAAATAAAGACGAAATATGTCATTAAAATATATATATAACCGTCATTGTGAATAAAAACCGCCGAAGTATTTTAATAACCGGCAATCTATCTCACTACCGCTACACATGTCTCTCAACCCTGACATTGGCAAAATCGTCGCGCAAAACGACGGAGCCATAGACGCAAAAGTTGAAGTTGAAGTTGAAGTCATTTAATTAGTTTGAAAACTATTCTGCTAAATCATTATGGTGACAACTGCGCTCCGACTGGCCAGCCCGAATTCGAAACAATTGACGGGCGTCATCATTGTTATTTTTAGAGATTGTTAGAGATTCTTTACTACAATAACTACAGAATTTTTGGAATATATGGACATGTGCTGTACTATTTCAGCTTTCTTTTTTGCTTCTTCTTGCTACTTCATTCTTTTCAGCTTTCTTTCATTTCACAGCGCAAACGAGAATTGATATTTAAAAGTGACATAAGGCCCATTTGCCTGATGAGTTGCCAGGGATGGAAGACCGTTATTTTGTCTCTATTTCTGGTTATATATTCAATGGTGTTAGATAACAACAAAAACTTACCCTCATAGAGTCTGTCAAGTATGAGTTGGTTGGTGGCCACCACATCCTGGCGGAAGTTGACGGCATCGCGCAACCTCACCACGCAAGATTCGCAAATCTGTTCACGGTACTCCAATGGCTCGACCAGCTGATGGACAGGTGTTGTGAAAAAGTAAATTAAAAAGTTATATATTTACAGTGGCAAAGATCTTTTCATAACATTTGTATGCACTATCCATTGACTTACAAATAAATGGACGAGGGGTCTAATACAAAAACCACGAAAAAAATGTCCCAAGTCAACCTATTTAAAGGTAGTCACATGTAAAGGAATATGAAAAAGCTAAAACGTTGAATTTAAATTGTAATGTCATCGCAGTTCTGTCTAATTTTGCTTGCTTCGCTGTCAGTCGAATAAACGAAGACTAAAGCGTGAATGACGCTCTGTATACGATTTTAACGCCCTATAAGTTCGGACACTTTTTAGCGCGGATCCGACGTCCTTATAATTGTAAGTCAATGGCACTATCAGTTAATTTGAAACATGTTTAAAGTATTGACATTCGCGGTATCATCAATTATTTCGATGGGGGCCATAACATTTAAACTAAGAATTTAAATACCTTTATTTTATTTTTGTTTTCTTTGTAGGTGACCCGTTTAACTCTTGCAGATAGTCTCTATCTATGATTTTTGAAATAAATATTGTAAGTGATAAATTTGTACAAATGTATATAATATATTTACAAAGAGCAACTCCTAGAGTTTCTTGCTTATTCTTCTGGAAATCAGCAGTAGAAGTTTTTATTAATTTAAGACAATTTCAAGTGTTTATTTATCAAGCGCTTACCTATTCAAGAAAGATTGTTTGAGTTTCAATTTGAGGTGTTTTGTTTAAATTTTACTTAAAAAAGTTCCGTTATAAGCAAGTAAGAGTGAAAACAAAAGTTTTTAGTAATTAATTTTTTTACTTTACCCAGCCTAGGCAACAGTAAAGGACAACACTGCTACTGATGCTCCTTGTGTAATCATTTGTACGCAGTGTTTAAACAAGCGGCGGCCGCGGGAGAGCCTATTCAGTATATTCAAGCAATAAAATAGCAAAGAGGTTATAATTTTACTTAGCCATAATGAGTTCGGACGAAATTCATTTTTAAAAATTGAGACTGTGATGATTGCAGTTGCGTTTGAAACCTTGAGAGCCATAAAAAATTTATTGTAATGTTACATACTTACAGGCAAACCAAAACATTCTACGAGCATATCCCCGTACACTTCGATTTTTCCATCGCAAATATATTCCGCCCATAGGTCCCTGGAGCTATTCTCTACAAAACAACACCGACATCGAACATGTATATCAACAGTATCGCCTCGTTTCAAAGCCATTTTAGCAATTTTGAAGCTTTTTTCACGGCAAAAATCTAGGAAGCGACGCCATGATGCACCTTGACTTTACACTTTTTAATTCCCGTTTAGTGATGCTTGCATCAGTTTTCTCTCAATCGACCGATTTACAATGACAGCTCGAAATCGCTGTAACCTGTGTAGTTGAAGTAGCGTCAGTTAATGAATGAACGAAACGCAATCGGTTATTGACATTTTCTTTCTTGACATTTTGGTAGAGAAAGCTTCCCCTGTTCATTTGTAGAAAAGGCGAAAACAATAATATTTATAATGTTCTAGGATAATTCAATGTTTTTATTAAAAGTTTGAATGAAATTACTTAGTGTTGTGTGTTTAAATTTAATAAAATGACGACGGCGAAGAATAACGGGCCTATTATAGACCCGGCGCTATGTAGATGCTGTAGAGCTATAAAAAAATGCAGGATTCTCACAGCCGAATATACTTGGACGGACAAAAAGGAAGTCTACGCGGATATGTTTATGGACTGTTTCGGCATATTGGTGCGTAAAAATTTATGTTATGCCTACATATTTTATATGTTTTTTTTATGCTAAAGTTTGTTTGAAGAGCTTTTCTGTACACTGCTTTGTTTTACCAATATGCAGTGTATACCCGAAATTTAGCAAATCGTTTATAATCTAAATGTTATCTCGTAAATATATATCAATATGTGTTGGCATTTATGTTATACATAATTAATTTATAAATTGAAGTAAAGCTGAAACTAGTAAGTAATAAATATAGGCCTATTCAACGCTAAAGTAAATAGGCATTTCTTGGATAAACATGTAACATCATGGATTACATCGATCTTAGAGTCAGGTATGAATGTGGCCGTGAAGAATGACAAACTCTTATTTACTCTCTATTGTACTTTAAAAAAATATAACAAATATACTGTTATGTTACAGCCCGTTGCACCAAGTACCAAGTACTGTTGTGTTATTTCAAAGTTTAAAATTTATTTTATTATACTCTCCTATTTCTTATGACTTGACTTACATACTAACTTCAGAAAAACCAGGAAAGTCCTTCAGTTCTTTGAAACTGTAGGCCTTGGCTCTGAACTGCAATTAGTGGTGATTATAATAGATCAGTTGATGGTCACAGTTACGAGGGGCTGCGAAGGCTCCAAATGGAGCGTCTCTAATAATATTAATACATTTACAATTTACAAAATACTTAAATTTTCGCCATTCAAATGTATACGAATTTAACTATCTGGATTTACATAAATATCAAGTTGATATAGAAATTTATCTCATTATCTCCAGCATAGTGGGCAGCTGAGAATAGACCCAATATACTTTGTGGTACATTTTAAGGTTCTACATTAAGACAGGACTTAACAGTCCCTTTATTTATTTTATTTATTTGGGATAACAACAGCAAATATTGTTAGATTACAAAAAGTTATATTACAAAGCCAGTAACAGTTATCCTCGATTTATATATTGAAAACAAAAACAAAACGGGATGTTTATGAGCATGATAAATAGTAATATAAACTTTATACATACATATAGTTATATGCGAAATAAGTAAGTATACTAAATACATACACTATACACAATAAAACTTAGTATTAATATTATTATACACTATGCCTACATATGAATAAATTTAACTTAACATTAAGTCATAAATAGGTATTTCTGACATTATAAAAATCTCAAACTATGAAACAAATGAATAAATAAATTAACTTGTCCATAATAATTATCTATTTCATATGGTGGTATAAGTCAACACCACACCAGCATTATGAACAACAAAAATTGACTCTATCAACCAATTATTACAACTATTTTTTTTTTTATAGAATTTGTTTATTCTTTGTAGAAGAGTTAGGTTTTACCATAAGTGTTAGCACTTATTCCTACCTTAATACTTATTCATACCTGTTCCATATTAAACATGTGTTTTATATTGGTATTTTATAGGTATATAAAAGATAGTAAGTGCTCCATCAGCATAGTGGTTAACTGAACTTAATAGACTCTACCTATTTTTTTTATAACATCAAGTGACGGGACGAACTAGTCGTGCGTCTGATGGTAATCTACACGCCTGTCCATAACAGTCACAATGCCAGTCAGAGCTTTAAATCGCACAGATCTGAGGGGCACTGCCACTGTGCCCGTCACCCTGAGACATAAGTTGACAAGTCCCATGTGCCTGTATTTCACCAGCACCCTTACCTTACCAAAACTGGAATGCAGTAATGCTGATATTACTGCTTGGCGACAGAAATAGGTAAGGTGGCATTACTGCCCTGGCGGAACTCTTTCACAAGGATCACTACTGCTGCTAAATCTGCAATAGAACTACAGTTCGATCTTAATTTGTCAATACTTACCAGTACCCTGCTCTAAATAAACATGTGTTTTATGTGGATGTATAATCATGGTGCACAAAATGCTACCTCATACATCTATTTATTTAATACAGTACATCCACAAAATACATATTACATGCCTAAAAATTTAATAATTATTCTCATATCATATCTCTCACAATATCGATTTATATATATAAATCGAATTAAATTTTTGCGTTTATTACACAGGAAATGAAACTATTTCTTCGGATCTAAATCGCGTTTCGGGCCCTTTACAGGTCCCATAATCTTGGCTGACTGAAATGGCAAAGTCATCAAATGCCAAAAATAAACGCCATTATCAAGTACCAACACTAGACTTGTTTTAATATTATTGATTTTTGGTTCAAAATAGTATGTTTTTTTAAATTTTCAAGCGCTTAGCCTATGCTACTACTATTTAGGTGTAATATCCCGTACTCGTTGGCCTATAGTATAGGTAAAATTTTTTCTGTACAAAAAGTTCCTAAATGACTTCTCACATTCAATTAAAAAACTTTTTTACAGTTTTTTTATAACACAGTCGTTCAGTCGGTGATCATTATGTGATTATAATTGTAACTCTCTGTCGTTGCTTTTTATAAAAATTGTAAATTTCAATTATTTAGGCCAGTATGGTGGAGTATGGCCTAAACCCTCACCTGAGAGGAGACCCGTACCCGGCTAAATTATTAATGTAATTAATTGACACATTAATTTTGTTCTAAGTTCGTACAAAATGCAGTTACACCCGTGCCCAGTAAAATTATTAATGTAATTAATTTACACATTAATTTTGTTCTAAGCTCGTATAATGCAATTTCTAATTTCAGCTGTCACACGTAGACGGCAGCGAGAAAGAGTGCGGCGTATGCGCCACATGTGTAGTGAGATTACGAGACGCATGCGCCTTCCGAGAGCAGGTTCTTCAATGCGAACAACTGTTTTTGGAAGCTAAGCTCCAAGTTAAGGAGAATGAAGAAGGTAGTGTTTATTTGACATGGATAATCATTAATTACGCCATGTGGAAGGGAATGTCATAAAAGAATCAAGTCTAGTATAGAAGTAAGAATAATAGAGAGTGTATGAAAAGTAGAGTTCTGAAATGAGAGTTGCCTACAGTAATTGTACCAGGACTGAGTACACTTGTTATGTCTTAGTTCAAATGTAAATTACAAACGAAATAATTTCTATCATATTATTGATAAACCAGTACTTTCATGGGGTGTCTTGAAAATATAAAATACAAAATACGTTTATTTAAATTACAATATGCAATCATCACCACTAACCGGATAATATGAAAGTATTTGAGAAATAAATAAACTTCATTCATTCATTCATTCATTTGAAGTATCCATTACAAAGAACAGTACCGTCACATTTCTGGTCTTTGTGAAAGAGTTCGTTCAGGGAAATACTGCCACATTACCTATTTCTGACGCCAAGCAGTAATGTGAGAAAATTATAAATTAAAATGACCGTTACTTTTTTAGTATTAAAACCTAAAAAATAGTTTTAGTTCTAGGATTTCGTGATTGTTACTCATGAAACATGTTAGAAATGAAACAATTTTTTCCGATTAACCGTGACCATAGAAAAATTGCTTCTTTTTTTGTACTCTTCTTCATAGTTAAAAAAATAGTTGAAAAAACCCACAATACGCGACATAGATCTGAAAAAATACTAGTAGTTTCATTTCCCATATTTTTAGCCTTAAAGATCATTTCTTATCCTTTCCAGAGCCTAAAAAGGATCTAGACATTGAGTTGAAGACAGAACCGAAAGATGACATTGAAATTGATAATCATTCCTTACCTGATACAGAGCCAATACATGACGATGGCATGTCCGTCGGGGATTATTCTGCTGATGAAGGTAAACCTGGTCATAATACACATATCTTACTACTAACTGCAGAATGTGATATTTTCTCAAAATTTTACATAACATCATCGACGCCGAAACTAGAACAATAGTCTAATAACACGAGTAAGGTGTCTTCATACAAACGTAGCAATGTGGTTTGAATGTGTGCACGCCCACCGCGCGCCGTGTACGGACGCACACATTCTCATAATCTCGCGGTGCACTCGAGTTGCACAGCGAGGATCGTCACACGCACCATTCATTATAGAATTGAACCGTTGATTGAACCTCACTAGCTCGGAAAGGCTTTCTTTCTCACTAGAAATCTGCGCGCAGAAAGTTTTTGAAATTCGAACTTGACGATGGACCGTGGTGCACCCAACTTTTTCTTTCGATGAAAGAAAACATAACGACACGTTCAACTACGCGATTTGTTGTTCATTATTTATGTAATATAAATCCGTTGGTATATTTTATTGTTATTGTTGTTGACATTAAATTGACAACGATAACTACTAATTTTGTTTATTAAAACTGATTTGTTATATATAGTTCAACTGCTTTTCTTTCATCTACCATTTTTTTCGCTATAGTGAGATGAGAAGTTGTGTGTTCTCGGCAGCGAAATTGTTTTGCGTCTCGTGCCTTGAAACTCTCGCTACGCTCAGGATTCTATTGCGAGTGGTTCAATCTTAGCATCCTTCACTTGCTCAGCTTTCAATACAAGCACTAGCGTCAAACAACAACTTTGCAGCCTGGCATAACAAATAAATATTATAATTATTAATACAAAGATCGAACACTCAGAAAACATTCCTTCGATCCGGCTGGATTCGAACTGACGTCTTCTAGCATACCGTGGCAGACGCTATACCAACTAAGCCACGGAACGAACCAGCGGACCTCACGAATTTTTCTATGTGCTTGTTGTCGTATCTTTGTATTTGGTTTTTCAACGACTTTTTAGCCGTAGCGCCATCTATGAGAAATCTATGAAAGCATCTCGTCACCCAGCTAGATACCTTTACAGTTACCAGCCCCAGCTAGTGATGTCGCTATTCACTGTATTTAAATTTTTATTTAAATGATATTCAATTTTTTTTATGTGAAATCACTCCACTGGTTTGTTATAATTATTGATTTATTCAAAGGAAACATATAGCACTTATTAGACTAATTTACAAATTGGTTGTATGAGCAAACAAGAATTAAACCATCATAACCTATTCTAGGTACGAGACCTGTGTTAATGGTATTATGAAGATTCTCCATTATGGTAAAATTAAATAACCAATGCTTTGATTGCAGCTAAAACTAAAGTAGTGTAGTAATACAAAGATCGACACTAAAAAAAATCCGTATAAAATATAGATAAATAAATAGACGTGTTTATGGTTATTCGAACAAGGGTGCTTCGAATTCAGAATTGCTCAGCATTTTATTTCTATTTCATAATCACACTACCGTCATCGAGATACTAATCCGCTATGCTGGCATAGAAATATCAATACGTAAATAAGTACTGCATTTAACAAATGCTATTCAATATAGCAGTAGTAGCAGAGAGAGCTCCTTGTGAACGAATTCATCCAGGGAAGTACTGCCACTTTACCTGTTTCAGCCGCCAAGCAACAATGAGCATTACTGCGTCCAGGCTTTGAAGGGTGTCAACTTATCTCTCTGGGTAACGGGCGTAGTGGCAGTGCCCCTCAGATCTTTGTGATTTATAGCTGCAACTGTTGTGTATAGGCGTATCGCTTTACCACCAGGCGCGCGACTTATTCGTCCCGTCACTAGCTATAAAAAAAATAAGCACGAGAGTACTGTGATGAATACCTTAACTTTTTCAAATTATGTTCTGCAACCTGTAAGCGCTAAAATAATAATGTGACAACCCTACGCTCCGAGGGAAGTGTAGGGAATGGAATTTGCCCTACTTGTCTTATTAATATATTATGGTTTAGTTCTCCTTGAACTAGGGATGCACGATTTTTTGCATCGTAGTGGATCATATGCCTGTGAATCGATCCTCAGATCGGATTGTATTTGTATTATCGGTCTTCCGCTTTTGAATGGATCTCACAATTAATTTCTATAAAAAAATATTTTGACAACCTTTTTGGCTTCAGTTGGTTTTGTGTTCATTTAGTTAGTGAGAAAAGACGTTCAGATGACATAGAAGTAGCGAAAGTCGCCAAATATTGTAGACTTATTGTTCTTAGATATTGCCAAACTGCTTTTCTTATCTTTTCCGGGTTCACGATTCTTTCACTTGCGTTTTTCGCTTGCTTACGTGACTCGCTTCGTGTATACGCAAAGATCTGTCGCGTACGCGCAGGCAGGACTTTTCACGAGTCGCTCGCTTGCGCTGGTCGCTTGCTTTGCGTTGGATTTCTTTGCGTTGCGTGAGTTTGATATCCAGAAAGCTTGATATTTCCACGCAAGCAACAAGTAACGTTTGCGGAGGACAGCACTACTGACCAATCACAGAGCAGCAGCCGGTTCGAGAGTGTCGACAACCCAAACAAAGGCAAGGCGCCGTGCATGCGTGCAAGTCTCTCCGCAACGCAAAGGGGAAGACTCGTGAACGCCTTTGCGCGGAAGACAGATTTCTACGACGTGTGCCCAGCCAACGCAAGCAAGCAAACAACGCAAGTGAGACTCGTGAACCCGGCATTACAGGCCAATATAAAATAGGGGTTCAGAAAGAGACAGTTTTGTTTAAATTATGAATACGATCTAGGTGATGCGATTCGCTTTAATGTTGAATCGATTTACTTATAAATCGCATTCCAATGATATGTACAATCAAGAATACATCAAGCTTGATACTTTGTACTTTGTACCGTTCTTATCGTAAGCGGCATAGAGTTGGACTTAAGTCTTAAGTGTAAAGCTTGACGTGCTCTTGACCCTGTACAATACAAAAAATCGCTTCATCGTATACACTTGAATCGAACTTCATAAATATCTTATCTTAATGTGCCTTGAACCGGCCATCCGTAATCCCAATAACTGTAAGTTAGATCGGTCTTGTCTGTTGCAGATTACAAACCACCGAAAAAAGAAGGCACTCCACCTCCTCTAGGTAAAACAACCAATAAGGTGACCTCGAAGACGATAGAAGATAACGACTATTCAGACTCATCGTCTAACTCTGACAAGCCATTGAAGAGAAAAAAGAAAATTGTCAAGAAGGGAAAGAAGGCTAATGGGACACAGAAGAGGGAAAAGAAAATGAAGCAGAAACCTGGTAAGATTCAATGTCTTTTACTCATCTTCAAAGGATCAATAAATATTTATTTTTTTTACATGAACAAACCATTATATAACTAACGTTATTTACTTGTCACGATTAGAAAATTTTAAAATCCAACTTCGACTTCCTAGGTCAGTAGTTTTGTCCTACGATACAGTGAAACCATTTCCGGAAATCTGGAATTCGAAAAAAGTAATTAATTGGTGTTTTGGTGGTTTTAACAACTCTATATCGCCCCTTGTAGAAACACCTTTTTATGACCATTACTTATGACGTATCCATATTTATTAATAATAAAATTTACTTTTACACTTTTGTAGGCAATGAAAATTAAATAATAAATAAATGTACTTAGGTAAAAGGAATAAGGAAATAATGAAGGGATTGGAGAGGAAAAAAAACGAAACTACGTTGATAATTTTTCCTTTAAGTTTTGGTTTTCCTCCTTTCAGTCGAATGCTATAAAAAAGAAGATTTTGAATTTAGTTTTTTTTTCTAATTTTTGTGGATTGGACGCAATTAAAGAAAAAGGATTTATATAATACATATCCAGTCACTTTCGAGATATGGCAGTTTGAAGTTTAAAATTGTTTCTCAATCTTGTTTTATTTTCATAACTTATAATGTAATGAAACGACAGAGATATTTAGAGATATCTAAGAGGTTAGACTTTAGGAACCGTTTAGTACATATATATAACTCATTTTTTGATAATTTTGTGGCTTGGATCCTTTTTGCTTAACTACGTCCAATTTTGCCTCGAAATAAATAAAAAAAATAGGTAAATATAAAGCATTTCTATATTGTTGCAGGTACATCAAAGAAAGCAGCTCCCAGAATGGTAAAAAAACCTCCAGTTGAAAAGAAACATAATTACGATAGGGACTTAGATTGCATGGCAGAAGAGAATCTTCTGACCATTATCCAGTACTCCTATGTTTGCCCCTTCAAAAATAGGCGAAATAATTACTATTGCTTTTATTGTAAAGACTATTATCCCAAACCCGAGGACTTGAGAGAGCACACTTTAACACACGACACAAAACCGTTTCAGTTATTGATGGGTTATAAAAAAATGCCAAAATTGGACGTAACAAGGATAGACTGTAAACTGTGCCCAATGAAAATTGATGATTTAGCCGTTTTCAAACAACACGTAGACCAAATTCATGGTAAGAAAATTTACTTCGAAGCTCCGGACAAAATGTTGCTTTACAAGTTGACATGGAACGATTTAGTATGCGTTATATGTAGTGATGTTTTCGAGGATTTCAATACGTTGCATACGCATATGGTCGATACGCATTTCAGCAATTTCACATGCGACGTCTGCGGTGTTTGTTTCTTAGAAAAACCACGTTTAGACGCCCACTTGAAACGACACAAAGACGACGAAAGGCATACGTGTGAGATTTGCGGGAAAGTTTTTAAATCTAACCACTACAAAGACATGCATGTGGATATAGTGCATAAGAAAAAAGCTATAATACGTTGTCCTCGATGCGATGAGTGTTTCATGTCTTACGCGGCGAAAAATAAACATCTTACAGAAGCTCACGGTCAGAAAAGAACTTATCCTTGTAACCTATGCGATAAGGTTTACAATAGACAGAAAACTTTAACAGAACACCAGAGGAGGAACCATCAGAAGGTCTTGAAACATCAGTGCGAATACTGTGATCAAAGATTCTATCTACCTTCAAGGTTAAAAGAACATATGGCGACGCACACTGGCGAAAGAAATTTCCGGTGTGAATATTGTGAAAAAAGTTATCCCAGGTTGAAATCTTTGCAATACCACATTAGAACTCATACGAATGATAGGAGATATAGATGCCATCTTTGCGGGCAGGCGTTTATACAGAACGCCAGTTTAAAATCCCATATAAAGAGCCATCATCCTGAATGTGATATTGAGGGGTGTTATTTTTAAATAATTTAGATTTTTAGCGAGTGTTTAACTTTTGTATGGGACAGGGCTTTCATTTCGGAACTATCGAAATTTTTGAGACTCAATTAAAAGTATTAAAAATCTAAATAAAAACAAATATTTACTCGCTGCAGACTCGGCCATCAATTATCGGAACGGGATAGCGATATTGCGGTTTCTCTCACCTGATTAGTGACGTACGCACGTGACGCGTGCGCATGCCCGTTATCGATAAAAACTTCTAAAAATCTTACTATAAGCCAACTGTCATTATACTGGTTACATGAACATGGCAACACTGTGGAGTGTCGCTTAGTGTAATCTATAGACGTTGAAGAAGGGTAATGATAAAATTAGGTCGTCTCTATCTGATACTATGAAAGCCCTTTGTTTTTTATGTATATACTCATTATAAAAATGAAAAAATAACTTTCGTAAATAATTTCTAAATTCAGTTAATAAAAAACTTCATTAAAAGTCATGTCTTGATTTACTTATTTTTGAAATTGTCTCAAAAGTCACGTTTTTTTCGGGATTTTCAAGACCGCACCTAGACTCGATACTTTTTTACGGGACTCGGAAATGCAGCGAGAATGAAAGCCCTGTGAGACACCGCTAAATATATACAATCTGTGAATATTCTATCTTAACACATTTACATAGTCTTCAAATTTGCAATTTAAAACAGTGACTATTTGTTTAGCTACCAAAATGACCTTTCTTGCAACTAGTGATCATACTCATGAATATTCATGACAACGAAAACCTCCATTAGTTCACCTGTAATATCTTATTTGTAAAAAAAATATTATTTCATATTTTTTTATTATTTACTTACAATAATTATTTTAATATATGGGTGGGTAAAAACAAACTGAAATGACTAAAGGAGTGATTTTGTTCTTTTGATTGATTTTGATTTGATTTTTTTGATTGATTTCTCATTGATTTTGTTTTCCATAGCCTATAGTTTTAAACGTCTTCGTAAACGGTGGATTTAGAAAATTTATGTGGTGAACCTTTTTTATTGATTGTAAAATACATTTTTAGCAATACGTTTATTTGATGAAATACAACAATTATACAGATCATAGTAAATATAGATGCATTGTATTTGACCTTTAAAAAGGCGCGCAAATGTTAATGAATTAATTCATTTTTTATTTATGTATTATCTACAGTTAATTTTATTTAATTTGATTGGTATTTCTAAATTATAAATAATATTTAATACTTTAAAATCAACTTGTCAAAAGACATTTTTTTGTCAAATTGTTTAAAAAAGTAGTAGCAATCATGTTAAAGTATGTTCTTATAACGACAGGAATTTTGATAACAGAAATAATAACGTACAGAATTTGTATTCGTAAAAAGAACACGAATGCCATAATACAAAAAAGTGAAGTGAAGTAGGTATGTAGAGAGTAAGTGTAAGTTGAATATTGTTTAGCGGATCAATATTCTATTTTTTTGACAGATTCTGATCCAGTAAGTTCATTGAGAGCTGAACAAATATGTCACTATACAATAAACATGGTAATTCTATTTTTCCAGTGACATTAGTAACTGATTGTTTGTTGTCTCTAGTTAAAAATCCTAATAAAAAACAATTAATCAATAGTAATAGTTGTAGCTAGCGATCGCATAAGAGCGATGCCACGCGCTGCCGGTGCGTTGTGTCGTCGCAATATTATGATTTCAACGCACTGAGTGCTCCAGTGCCACACTGGCTATGCAGTGTCACAACCACTTACGCGCCGCAGAGCGTGTGGCATGTTGTAGTTCTAATTTATGTGTGTCATGTTCTAATTTTTGTGTATATCGTGTGGCATCGCTCTAAATTATTTCAATAATAATGTGTTATTTATTTTCATCACCGCTAGCGGTGTTGTACAATTTGCTGTAATATAGAATATTTTACTAGGTCGCTAGCAAAAACTATCCCTGTAAACTCGTGGTCGAGGCACTGTTTTGATTTCAGCAGTACGTAACTGTAAATTACTAGCTGAATACGTTGTTATAGCATTGTAATAAAAACATATATTAGTATTGTTTACTCTGAAGTACAAACTAATAGTTTCACATTAGGTTTTCAATTATTTGGTCTTGAATGCTTTGTCCTCTTGTGCGATCTCACTTTCATTTTCTGTACTACACACACATTAAGCGCAACAGAAAAGTAAAAATGTGAAATAGTAGACAAATTAGCGATTAAATTCACGTTGACTTAGTACGGTTTTGCTCAACCTTTATTGAAAAATATCGCAATTAAAAAGAATGCATTTTTTTTACTTTTTACGACTAAGCACTGACTATTGTTAATTTAAAAATTGTAATAGTTTAACTTTAATTAAATCAAAGTTTAATAAGAAAACTTTTTCAACTAAACTTTACGAAATTTACAAGAACGCAAAATCAACCTCTAACCTTTTTTCAAAACCAAAATGTCGACTGTCGGGTACCTCAGGGCATAGGCATAGTTCATTCAAACGGGGTAACACCTTGTTTTAGGGCCTCATATAAGTAGACAATATGAAGAATGAATATAAATAGGAACATCCGAAAATTGTCACGATAATCCAGGCTATTTATATTAAGCTGTAATAATAAGTAATTTATGAAATAAATAATGGAATGCATATTTTAAGCTTGCAAAAGTATTATTTAGATAACAATGTAATTTATATTCGTAAGTTTTATATAATAAAAATTATACATGTATATAAATTGTTATTTCTTGTACCTACACTCGTGTTATAGACGTTAGATGTCACATTCCGTAGTCTACGTCACATTCAAACCGTGTAACGCCGCCTGTTGTCTTTCATTCAGTATTAGTATATAATTTGTCTGAACTCGCAATTTCGTTTAATGAACCTTACCAAAACTTCTAGACCAGATACGCTACAGACGTGTAGGTACCTGCTCAGCTTTTAAATTGAACGATCCGATCTAGTTCAATAGGGAACTGAACAAGTTCAGTCTTCTAGTTCTTTTAGTTCCGATATCCTTGCGAGTACATTGAACGAACTGTCCAAACTACTTTTTATAATCAAATGGTGCCACTTCTGCTCTCCTGTGTTCCTTTACAAAGTTCGTGTCAGAGACAGCTTTTTGCTTGAATTAGGGTCCCCTGGATCACATTTTCTTTGAATGTCCTAGGCTTACTTCCTCCTTGTATGACCTTCCTCCCTGTATTCCCCGCCCTATCAATCTTAAATCCCTTTGTTACGGACGGCCGTGCGCGCCTGGCCGGTCAGAGCTAGAATTGAGAGGAAAATGAATAAATAATTCAGGAGCTCTGATTGGCCGAGTGACGCTAACGACTTATTCTTCGCTTATACTTATACCGGTACGGTGTGGGAGACACCGTACCGGTATAAGTATAAGCGAATATTGGTATTTGCGTTCTTCTTCTTTCGCTTTGATTAGCTTCATTCGTATTCTTGCTCTCTTAGTAGTAAGACGTGTTCATGATTGTAAGTCAGATCGACATAAGCTTTTTGTATGAATATACAGTTCACTTCACAAGATTAAGGAGTTTCATTTAAGAAAGGATATCGAAGGCGGTTACCCGACAGATTAAGGATCGGCGCTGTTATTCTATACCCTTCTTTATGTGTTTCCTCCTTTTATTAACATTTTGTGCGATTTTATCCGCTCGAATAATATTAGGCTCTAGTTTGTTGTTTATTCATGATTGATCTTTCTCACCTCAGGTATTCCCTTGATAACAGCTGTTCCTCGAAGAGGCTCTTCTAAAAATAGATACCTTGCTGCTGCCTAAACGTTGGCGTTTTTGACCAATATTATCTGCCTGCAGTCTTCGAAACTGTTTATCAACATTAACTGTCCACATTTCTTGAAAGTGACACTGGCCCAAGCCTTGTGGCCGCCATTAAGGACATAATTCATAGTAACTACTTCAGACTTCTAGTATGTACCTACTATTAGGACAATAGAAACTTTTCTAGATATTTAAAAACAACAATTCTTTATAGTAGGTATCGTGGTTTGGTTTTTAATTTGGTTTCAAGGCGTGATAATTACTCAGATGGAGTACAAAGTCATGGATGTCACGCTATATAAAATATTAATAAAATAAAATATTAATCTTTAAAAAGTCGTGGGTCAAGGTGCATACAAAGCGTTCTTTATTCCAGCTTGACCGTGGTCGAGTTTTTGAAATGTAAAAAGTCGCGATATAGTTCGGAGGTATAGGTAAGTAGTCGATTCAAAAAAAATTATTTAATCGTTATGCTGTTTTAAACTTGTTAGAACTATAATAATTTTGTTCTGTTGTCCACGCTGAAATAAGTTTATTTCGGCGGCACCATTTTTTAATCTCGAGGACCACAAGCATATTTATGCAAAAAGGAACGCTAAAGTAATTTTAACCATTTGAGTGTTATGAAAATCAAAGATTTTTTTTTTTTATTTTTTTTATTGTGACTCGGCAAAATGACTGCACCGCGCCTGATGGAAAGTGCGAATACCACAGATTACTATGCGAATACAGTCCAGAGATGAGAGTAACGGATGGAAAACACAAATATCTTCACTCCGTCACTATCATTGCATTGATTACCGACCTATCATAAAAGCAAAGTATCACGGCTTCAAAAAAAAAAAAAATTATGAATTTATCATTTTATAATCGATCGATTAATATTACTTTTGTATTTCTACACAGTATTTCTTACACCAACACATTTTTTAGTTTACGTATGCATCCTTACGATGCAGTAAACGTTGGTGTCACATTTATCTGAAGAATATAGACAAATAGATTTTTAACAACAAAACGCAGTATTGTCAAAAATAATTTATTTTGTTTGGGAGATGAATTTCTACGGTTTTATATTTTGAAGATGAAATCGTGACAATTCGATCGAAATGGCAGCGCCGAAGCCGGCGATAAAGACCCAAGGGCCAATTATCAACCCTGGACTATGCAGATGTTGTAGGTCCATCAAGAAATGTAGACTGCTGACTGCCGAATATGAGTGGACAGGACAAAAAGAAGTCTATTCGGATATGTTTATGGATTGTTTCGGGCTTTTGGTGAGTTAATTAATGCAAAGTTGGTATTAGAAAAGGCTCAACAATAGTTTGAGATATATAAAAACGATAATGACAGTGAACAAGTTTAGGGCATCTGTTATTCGAAATGGAACCCTAATGCGAGTGTAACCCGAGCTACGTGGCGCGGGCTAGCTCGGGTCACGATGAAATTAAATTTTTATTGCAAATTTTTGTTTCGTCCATCTGTGCAAATATTCTGACGTCACCCCAGAAAGTCGTGTATGTAGTCTGGACACTTTCTTTGAATATACTAAGTTGATTTCATCCTTGTATGACCTCCTTTAACCCTGTATTCCCCACCCTATTAATCTTAAATCCCTTGTTTATGAGTTCCTCCTTTTATTAACATTTTGTACAATTTTATCCACTCTAATAATATTAGGCACTGATTTCTTGTCTGTCTATGATAGTTCATTTTCACCTCCAAAACAGCTTGTTGAATAGGTTCTTCCAAAAATATATACCTTGCTGCTGCCTTAACATTGGCATTTTTTACCAATATCATCTGCCTGCACTCACCTCAACATGAACTAACCGCATTCCTCAAAACTGACACTGGCCAAGCCTTGTGGCCACTGTAGTGGACTGTATCAATGGGTTAAAGGGTGGGTGCTAACAATGAGTAAGTAAAGCTACACCAAATTCTTAGGAATTTATTCATTTTTAGAAGACATACAGCTATGAAAGCAAAACAGCCAGCAATAAGGTGAAAAAAAGGCGCCAAAAACAATCACATTTAAATTTAGAATTTGAATATGAAACTAAGCATAAAAAGACTATATTATAAAATATATACAAAGAGATTTGTAGCGACGACTGCAATTTGCTACAGCCGCCATTAAGGAAATAATAATAATAGAAAGTCCTATGTTACACGAAGGAACCACTGGCCATAACTGTATTCAACTGTCAAATATTCTGTACCATTGTATGATCACCTTCCCCCATTCAACCCACAAACTTTAATTCAACCGTAATGTCCGTTAATTCCCCTTTTATCATTGATCTCTGTGATTATATATCGAGCAATAATACAAAACAATATTGTGCTCTCCATCAGGCCCTATAAAGAAACATAAGCCTTCAGGTCTGCAACACCTTACTTTTTCAAACTTGTGTCTTATAAAGAGTGATTATTCAGTAAATGGCAAAACTTTCAATTTATTTTAAATTTGTTATTAAGGGTGTTAATTTGGATACATTATTTTAAGAATGTGTATTTTTTTTATCTATTTTCTATTGAAGCTTTAGTCATCTTGAGTGACTTAGGGTCGTATTCCAGAACTCTACTCAATGCTCAAGTCAGGATTTGAGCATACTTGAGTATGGTTTCAAGTATTGGAAATACGACCCTAATGGCAAGGAGTTGAGTATGATTTTCAGTGCTCACTGCAATACTCAAGTCCTGACTTGAGTATTGAGTACAGTTCTGGAATACGAACCTTAGTCTCATGGGAGGAATACTGGGTTCCCTACTCAAGGGACATGTTTAAAAACTTGTACAAGTTTAGAGCTCCAATATAAGAATAGGCAAAAGCCAGTGTGTGAATATGAAGGAAAAGGGTGCTGAGAAATGGGCCTGCAAAATGTGTATAATATATAATCCATTTTTTGCATTCCAGTAACTTGTGCTTCAATATACAAGTTTGAATGGTAAGGTGACGAATGAGCTTGTTCTCTCGAACAAAGTACAACCACAAAACTTACTGAATTGCTGATCCCCCTGCAATGATCAAATTTACTTAGCGGAACACTTGGTGCTGGCGAAATTCTATAAGGACACTGCCAATAATTATAAAGAATAATAGTAATAATGTATCTATTTTGTACTTTGTGACGGGACGAACAAGTCGTGTGTCTGGTGGTAAGCCATACACCTCTCCATAACAGTTGCAGAGTCACTCAGAGCTTCAAGTAAAGATCTCTGCGCCTGTCACCCAGATACGTAAGTTGATAAGTCCCATGTGCCTGTAATTACACCAGCACCCATACCCTTCACAACTCGAACACAGTAATGCTAACATTGTAATGTGAGCTGTTACCTATTTCAGCTTAGCGGCTGAAATAGGTAAGATGGCAGTATCCCTGGAAGAATTCTTTCACAGGGAGCTCTAAAGCTACAAATGTAGATGTATTCTTCCAACCTTTAAACTAGATATTAGACCTGTGTTTTTGAAGAAAGTTGTATTCTTCCAGCTCTCTCATCTGGATGGTGAATGCAAGGAATCTTGCATTTGTGCAACTTGTGTTGTACGTCTGCGGGATGCATGCGCATTTCGTGAACAGGTCCTGAGGTGTGAACAGGAGTTCCTACAAGCTAGGGATAGAGGTGAAGGTAAAGGAAGTTTTTTGAAACCTATTTTTTACTAAGACATGTAACATTTCGTCGTCAATGTCACCGTTGTAATGTCTGTCACAATATATTTGATCTGCAAAGCCTTCTTTTAAAAGGTAGAACCTCGTACAGAGTTGAACGCCTCTATATCAATGAGGTATTTAGTAGAACATATAACTCTACCAATAGCGGAGTATATAATTGAAATAAACTTTTATAGCCCTCTATAAGGCCTCGTTTAGGTTAAAATTGTTGGAGCAGAATGGTACACACATCACGTGGTTTTCTTGAGTAAGTTGCTCAATGTTCACGGTTGACATTTCGATGTTCACCTAATATTTTCAATATCCAATAATATAATCTGTACTTTCTCCATTGCGCCCATACCATTGTTGGAGCAGAATACTCGGGAAGAGGAAAACCGGGATAAATAATAATTAGACACTGCATATTTAGGTGTGTTTACATAGGTTGACTCGACAATTAATTTAACAATGTCCTTGTACCATAAAAACTGACGTATCAGCTCTGACCAAGACACTCCCGCAAAGACACTTATCCAGATGACATATCTGGGATAAAAATTTGTATTGGAATAACACGCCTTATAACACGCTTTATAATATAATCGACAAACTGATCACATGCTTGAATAGAAATTACAATAAGTAGGTATCTATTTGGGAGTACAGATTTTATAAAGTAACGCAATCTGACTGTCACCGAAATTAGAGTACCCATCAATAAGAAAGCGATTTATTTCTTCCAAAAACAGTTTTAGAAGTATGAGTCATAGAAATTTTGATAAATTCAACTAATTTACAGTCATCATTAGAATAAACTTCACAAAGTTTTTGGTAGACCTTGTTTTTAATTTCCCATATTTAATTAATTAAACAGCCGAGACAAAAGTGGAAGTGGAAGTGAAGACTGAGCCATGTGGTAGTGACTCAGACGGAGGAGATGACCGGGACGATATGGATGATTTGCCCCTCAACTGCATCAGTAAGTGTAATAACCTAATTCAATTTCAATTCATAACACGCATACGCGCGCAGGTACGCACACACGCTCACACACTCTCTTCACACACACACACACACACACACACACACACGCGCGCACACACACACACACACACACACACACACACACACACACACACACACACACACACACACACACACACACACACACACACACACAAGTTTATACACATTACATACCTACTGAAAATTTTTCATTTTATTTTTCATTTTTATAAATTTTTTTTTTTTTTCATTTTTAATTTTTCCATTTTAAATTTTAAATATCATTATATCTTAAAACTAACCCACTGATGTAACTTTGTTGTAAATTCTCAGTTTTAAGCTTAGTTACAAGGCTTTCCCAACACAAGCATACATTTGCTTAAAGGGAGGACCTGATCTACCATTGTTGAACCAAATTGAGAAATAAATAAATTTTTAATTTTTAATTTGTACTGTTAAAGAATGCAAGATAGTCCACTTTGAAGTTTTGGAGGTTGTGTTACGTAATTGAATAAAATATATTCGGTGTATTATTATATCAAAATAAACTACAGAAGCCTTAACAGAGTTAATAGAAGCTGAATGGTACCGTGGGCTTGTGACGTGACGAAAGTTCAGAAGAAATTATTTTGTATACATGATAAATTCATGCCTTTTGACCATAACAAAATAACTTAGGTATTATTATTAATAACATACCACAGACTATTGCACTGGTGACTCGGCACAGACTTTTTTTTTGTGAAACGTGCCGTCTATCCCTGATTTTTTGTCAGTTTTACCCTTGGTTTTACCATTTTCTCGCGATGGCAATTTGGACAACAAATTATAGACTTTATTTTTTGTAATGAAGTAGTTAATCTTTTATTACGTTATTACAAATTGGTCGAGTCAGTACATTTGATATTACACATCGAGTATATAACCAGAAATAGAGACGAAATGTAATGTAATTTGTTTGAAAACTATTCTGCCATATCATTACTATTGTCACACTAAGCACCGATTGGCCAGCCCAAATTCGAAACAATTGACGGGTGTCGTCAATTGTTTCACTTCAAATCGACCAGTTAACTTGAGCTTTGCTATAATGGTCGACAATTGCAAAATTACATATTTAATATTTAATTACCGATGAAATTTGATTCCGTTTGTTTTGTAATTAGATGTTTTGCTGTTTTTCCCCACACCACCGAATGGAACAGCACAGCAGAGATATTATGTTTATTACATTAACTACAGAATATTTTTGGAAAATACGGAGACGTACACACAAGTCAGTTGTTGGCGCTGTACTATTTCAGCTTTCTAATTTGTAATTTCAGTGCAAACGAGAGTTGATATTTATAAGTGATGTATTAGTTATTATCTGGTAGATATAGAGAGAGAACGGAGAGCCCTTGCAGTAAGAGCGAATATGCTCGCCCGGAGATTTGCACGTTGTAGTAGAGAGGCTAAACTTACGCTTTTTAAAGCATACTGTCAGACCTTCTACACGTGTAGTCTTTGGGTGAAGTATACTAAGGTAACCCTAAATACACTGAGGGTGCAGTATAATAACGCGTTTAGGATGTTGTTGGGGTTACCGCGATATTGTAGCGCCTCAGGTATGTTCGCAGAGACACGCACAGATGGCTTTCATGCCATTCTGAGGAAGCGGGTTGCGTCGCTTTGGAGGCGTGTGCGTGAATGCCCCAACAGCATTCTGAATGTCGTAGCGAATCGGCTTGACTGCCCCATACAAGGTCACTGGATGAAACTCCATGTGGTAGTTTAGTTTATGTTTTCTTTCATTGAATTTTTTGTGTGTTAAAAATTTTTATATTTTATTTAATTTTTAATCCATAATTCCATATTTTAATTTTTTTATGAATTTATTTTACTTTCAATTTTAATTTAATAATTTTGATTTATTGTTTTGCATCAATCATATTAACATTGACATATTAACACATTAATGAATTAGGAGAAACAAAATATAAGCTATTATTTTAATTTTAATTTTAATTTTAATAATGAATTTGTATAATACTAACCTTATTCTTAAGTTGTTTACTAACAAACTATGGATAACTGTTTTGGTCCGAAATAAATGGTATTATTATTATTATTATTATTATTATTATTAGTGATGAGATACCTTATTTCGTCTCTGTTTCTGGTTATGTGTATACTCGATGATATTACGTGACTTAACTGTGGACCATATCCATATATATGTACTGAAATTTCTTTTTTGGCGACTAGACGTCGCTCAACGATAGATATATGTAGACATCAGTCCGGTTACATACTAATTAGTCATTAGAGTTTCTTTTAAATATTATTTTATTTCTAGACTTAGAAAGGCCGCTATGATAATTTGAAAAACCTAATGAATATATTTTGTTCAAACTTGTAATTAAGACATTTGAAGACGCTAACAAATTCCTTTAAATATGATTTTGCCATTGTTCTATTGAACTATGAGTATAACATTACACTTCTAACATTATAGTTATTGTTTGTGTTAGATGTATTTTCACCGATACCAAAATAATCCTGTCAAACAATGTCTGCTGTATCCATGTCATCATCATCAAGATTTCCAGGTTATGATAGAGGGGTGGTCTCTTCCTTTAACTCTGTGTCGTCTTACTCCTGTTTGATTTCAATTTGTTAGTTCAAGGTCTGAATGGTATGATAAAGTGGTGAAAAAGATTTTTCTAATCCTTATTTTTAACGCTTCGGTGTCAATGTCGGCCTTTTGGTGTTAATCCTTTTGGATTATTACTGCTATATCGTGTCGCTTCGTAGTTAGAGGCAAGACCTCACATTATGAGTACAGAGTTTTAGCCCTGTGACGGTGTGACCTTTACATCGTCATCTCACCTTTTTATTTAAATTTCTTATTTTATTCTCACACTAGTATTTAAATTCAAATTTTAAATTGTTCCATTCTTTGCCTCACATTCTGATTTTGTTTCGTTTCATCGTCACTCCCTACCCGATCGCGGTAGCGAACACATCTCTTCTTATCTTTTTGAACTTTTTACTAGTTATATTTATACCGGTTACATTTTAAAGATCGTAATATTATTGTTAAACTTGAATAAATACCTATAAAACTGGACTTTCAACTTTTGACCTACTAAACTTACTAAGTAAGATGTATGGAGGCTGTGGAGGCTACTGCTACTACACTCCAGACCAACAATCAGTAAATTCCAGCAGCTCTTACAGCCCTCTTCGCCAACGGGTCACCCAACACAACATTTAACTTTTTAGGAACCAGTTTCGATAAATTATTTTCTAAATTGGACCTCATCCAGCTCGCAAACCCTTGGCCTACTGAAAGCCGTTTAAATCCAATACAAAAATCTGCTCAATAGATGTGCGCACGCACATACCTTTTTATATAACATAATAGTTTTTAATTTTTTTGTTTATTTGTATTTTTTTTGACGTTGTTTTTTGTTCTTCAGTTTTTTATTATTTACAAACAAACGAACAATAAACAGCATTTCTTAACATCATGCACTTACATAAATATAACAATCGAATATCTGCGCTAACCACAAATTACTTAATAAACTTAAGGCCCATTTAGATGGAGAGAGTTTCTCGTCTCGAAGATACGATTATCGAAAGAATATAAAAAACTTTCCTCGTCTAAACATTCGCGATTATCGCCCTTCCACATGAGCGATAATCGCCTCGCCTTTCAATATTGAATATCTCCGTGTAAACAGAACTTGAAAGCAAAAATCGTATTTCGAGTTTTTGTGCCAGCCGTTTCTACCATAAGTACAGCGCGCGAGGGTGTTTTGATTATCACTGCTTTTCTAAGACAAGAATGAAGGAAAGGAAAAAGAAAAAAAGGATTAGGAAATGTTATAAAATTTAAAAAAGTATATCCAGTGCAATGAACTTAATATTATCAGCAGTTCCAAATTTCAATGATTTTTGCGTCATTTTGATATATTCATAGTCAATACCGCTGTAATCACTGAACTCGAAACTCTCAAATTTCGTACTCAAAACGATTCGAACCGATTTGTACGATAATCGTATGAACTTGAAAAAATGTCATACGAGATCGTGTTTAGACAAGTCGAAAACTCGTAAGCAAGAATCTCCTTACTACATATTTCTCTGTGTAAACAGTCGAGGAGGCGATTAAGTTGCTTGCGAATCTCGTATGACATAATCGTAGGCGAGATTTTAGTTTTTGCCTCAATGTAAACATTATGATACGATAATCTTATGGCGATTATTGCTTACGATAATCGCGTACGATTTTTCATCACGAAGCGTGCGATAAACTCTCTCCATCTAAATGGGCCTTTAGGTAAATACAATGTCCGCGAGTTTACGCTTTAGCGCATCAACATTACAGTTGAATATATTTAACTGCCTCTGTGGCCGAACGGTTACCACGCCGGACTGCCACGCAGAGGTCCCAGGTTCGATTCCCGGGCCGGGAGAAATATTTGTATAGCCTACATTTATTTCCCTCGTGAGTTTGGGTGTAATTTGTGGTTGTCTATGTGTGCGTTATTATAAACAGTTGAATGTATCAACTTCCAGGTTGTGATTGCTCAGCACATTAGCAAGAGCTTAGGGAGATAGGAATCATGTAGATAAGGGAAAGAAAATCTCCAATCTCATAAAGTCTTCATTTGATACTCCACGAACTTACGTGCATTGTAAAATTATCGACACGGTACCTCTTCTATCTATATTTCCTTTTTTCCCATTAATATATCGTTTTTACTTAAATTCAAAATTTAAAAAACTATTGCTAGTGTTCGGACCAAACATTTAAGTAATCAAAATTGATAGCTTTTAAATACCTGTAAACAATTTATGTTTACACATTGGTACAGCATGATAAAAAAAAATGTTGAACTAAACCAAAACCGGGTTTCTAAATACAGAGTTTCTACATATCGATAATTTGATTACAACACTCGGACCCAGTACCAAGTGTAATACGACGCTAGTGCAAGCAATTCATTGAGCGTCATTCGAATTGTTATTTTGACGGCGGCGATGGCTAGCAACCAATGTATATTGTTATTACCGAGTTGCAAGTAAATAGTTTTGTTTCGAAATTATAGTACTGTATTGTTGAAAATATTAGAAAACACAGAGTTTTAGTACTTACCGATGAAGTGCAATCAATCCCGGAGTATTTTTTAAACTTTGGCTTCTTACGCGACATGATATAATTGCACAATTCATATTGGCATATTTCTATTTTTTCCACAAAATAATCATGTATCACATTTGAACGACGACTGACGCGCTGTTGACACTCAATGCCCGTCTGGTGATAAACTAGGTAACGCGGACCCCGCTCACTTACCAGTCTATCACTAGTATATGTGGTCTGTGGCACGTCCAGTCGCTTTGGAGACATGGCAGTTTGAAGTTTAAAAGTGTTTCTCAATCTTGTTTTATTTTCAAACTTATAATGTAATGAAACGCCAGAGATATTTAGATATATCTAAGAGGTTAGACTTTAGGAACCGTTTGGTATTGGTAATGTAACTCATTTTTTGATAATTATGTGGATTGGATCCTTTTTGCTTAACTACGTCCAATTGTAAGTTGTATTTTAAGTGTCGTTTCTTTGTGCGATAAATTTATATAATTTTCGTTTTTTTTTTTCAGTGTCTCGATCAACTCCCAAAAAGGAACGGTCACCGGCCAACGACCCTTCAACAACTTCGGAGAAACTCCGCGAGAAACTCTCCCGAGAGAAACTGCCTCGCAAAAGCAAGCAGAAGATCAAAGCTAAGCGTGAATTGTTGACTGAAATGCAGCGACTTCAGGGAAAATTGGACAGAATGCTTAATAAACCAGGTATGTAATTTCACTGCTACATCTTAATCTCTTTTAAACGACTTTTTTTTTAATAGCAACGCACGCACTCAACATAGCCCCGCACCAGGGAAACCCTGACAACTACAAATTACACCCAATCTCACGAGAGATATAAATGTAGGCCATACAAATATTTCCCCCGGTCTGGGAATCGAAACTGAGACCTCTGCGTGGTAGTCCGGCATGGTAACCGTTCGGCCACAGAGACAGTTAAAAAGATAATTCGGAAACGGCATTTGAAATAGAGTGTGAATCAAACAAATAGTATAAATCCCCCCTTAAAAGACCCCTCCTACGTATAGTATCGTATGTCGAAATTGCCAAGTTTACAGGGGAGCGTTTTAAAGTTCTGAATTCACTGAAATAAGTATAACACGTCGCTTTAGCATTTCCCAGTTTTATTCGCCATAGCTCGTTACTCACATAGAGTATTATACAATCCTAGATATCGGTTAGATGATCTATTAGATGGTCACTCTATGTGAGTAACGAGCTTTGACGAATAAAACTTTAAAACGCCCCCCTGTAAACTTGGCAATTTCGACATACATGCTTTACGTAGGAGTCGAGATATGAGAGAAATTTCATTAGCCTTGTCAAAGAGTTAGTCTTGGGAAGTACTGCCACCTATTTTTTTTTTTTTTCTTTATTTTTTTATTATTACTATCGCCAAGCAGTAATGCTCACATTACTGCGTTCTGGTTTGGAAGGGTAAGAGTGCTGGTGAAATTACAGGTACATGAATGTGAGTGCCCCTAAGATCTTTGCGATTAAAAGCTCTGAGTGGTGCTGCAACTGTTATGAATAGGCGAGTCGCTTACCACCAGACGTACGACTTGTTCGTCTCGTCATTTGGTGTTATATAAAAAAAAAAGTTGTTTATGCAACAATTGCTAATATAAAACCAAATGCTGTATTTTGACGCACCATCTGTTGGTACAAATTAGAACTGCTTCGTTGAGAATTGTCATTTAACCCTCGGTAGAAAACTGTACAAAATCTGCATGCTAAGTTAAATGCCTCGCTTCCCATTTGACACATTATAACATTATAAAGTAGATAGATACATAGATGGAATCTTTATTCACCACCATGATAAATACATACACAGACACATGATATAGACATTAACTTAGATGTAACACAGTAATATGTTCTACTAATATCTCTCTTGGAAGCCATGGCAATGAAAAGCCGCTGACTCAGCGTAAATGACGCAGCTGCCCGCGACACTGGCAGAGCCAGGACCCTATAGGACAGTCACGCCACTCGTAAAACCCAAAACAAAACCAATTTAATTCAATCCAATTTCATGCAATTCATTTATTTATTTCTTTCTTTTCTTAAATCCCGGGTCGGGAGAAATATTTGTATGGCCTACATTTATTTCTCTCGTGAGTTTGGGTGTAATTTGGTTGTCTATGTGTGTGTCCATGGCACCCGCGACACAGGGTTTCCCTAGTGCGGGGTTATGTTGAGTGTGTGCGTTATTATTATTATTATTATTATTAGTAAACATCTTAGTCACCCATATTTCCAATTTCCGCATATTTAAAAGATACTCTTGCAGCTTCTGCTTGAAAGTTCTTTTTGTGAGGTATGAAGTAGAAGTCATATATTTAGAAAATTACCGCACATAGTCATATTTACTTGACATTGGCGAAATCATCTTTTATTTCGATTGAGGCATAGCATTTAAAAGAAGAAGAAGAAGAAAAACCCTGAAATGGTGCTGGCAATAATTAACCTTTGTTAGGAGTGTTCATTTTGTTTGTTTGTTAGTCCGCCATAAAACCAGCGACAAAATCTTAATTTTTCATTTACTTCTGCACTATCATTGTACGCAATCGCACATTCTGAACGTAAAAACTCCCATACATAACGCGAAATAACCACAAAACACTATCAAAAATATCTATAATCATGTAATTTATCATTCCAGTTCTCCCGACTCCAAAGAAAACAAAACAGATAAAGAAAAAGGACCCCGAACTCTACCACGACGACATGGTTTACAAAAACGCCATTACAATTGCACACAATTCTTATGTATGTCCTTTCCACAACCGAATAAGCAATTATTATTGCTATTATTGTAAAGATCAATTCACAAGTCCAGTGGAATTAAGAGAGCACACGTTAACGCACGATCCGAAGCAGTGGTTCGAAGAGATGATGGAAAATAAGAAAATACCTAAAGTAGATATAACACGGATTGACTGCAGGCTTTGCGAGGAAAAAATCAACGATTTGACGAATTTGAAGACACATTTATGCGAAAGTCATGGATTGAAGTTGTATCCGGTTTCAAATGAGTTCTTAACTTTCAAGTTATCGCTGGATAATTGTGTGTGCACAGAATGCGGAACATCCTTTCCCTATTTTGATATGTTAAAAAAACACATGGTGGAACATTTTGGATCGTACATTTGTGACCAGTGTGGTGCATGCTTTTTAGAACAAAATTCCCTACGGACTCACATAAAAAGTCATAGCAAAACCGAATCATTATTCCCGTGTGAAATATGTGGTAAAAATCTTAAATCTAAATACAGCCGTTACATGCATATTGCAACGGTGCACGAAAAGAAGCCTACAGTAAATTGTTATAAGTGCGAAGCTAGTTTTCTGTCTTACGCTTTGAGAAATAGACATTTGATTGAAGTGCACGGTGATAAACGAACGTTCCCTTGTAAATTGTGTGATAAAGTTTATAACAGACGGAAAACACTTATGGAGCATAACCGAAGGAATCATTTAAAAGTATTCCGACACCAATGTGATTTATGTGACCAACGTTTCTATCTACCCAGTCGCTTAAAGGAACACATGGCAACTCATACGGGAGAGAGAAACTTCAGGTGTGAATTCTGTGACAAGAGCTATCCACGGTTGCAATCATTGCAGGAACATATACGGTCTCATAGCAACGAGAGACGGTTCAAGTGTGATATTTGCAACTCTGCATTCACACAGAATGGGAGTTTGAAGAATCATATCAAAAGTCATCATCAAGGGTATGAGATTGAGGGTGGGTATAATTAAATTAAGGTCATATTTGTTTGTGACCTTTACTACTACTAAATACCATAGTGTTCCCAGAAGTCTTCAGTAAATGCCAAGAGATTGCTGAGATTCCTGCAGGAGTTTGGGTGGTGTGAGTAAGACCCACAGATCTTTACACTGTACCACTTAGGTCATACCTTATTACACTGCTATACGTCTGTTACCCGAAATTTCAGCACTAAATAAAATACTCAAATGTGGACTTTAAGTATAGTTCAATAAAAATGTTTCAATAGACAAAATTATTAGGAATAACAGAAAATGGCGCGCTGTCGCCACGGTACCTACTGCATTTAGCAATAGTATATTCCGCTTATTCCCAGTTGTCACTACTGGCTTTGTTCCCACTAGCGACAAATGGGAAAAAAAATCCCATATGTTACCAGGTGGTGACATATGGGATAACAAAATCCCAGTTGTTGCCAGTGGTGATTTCTACTGGCGACAAATGGGAAAAAATTCCATATGTTACCAGGTGGTGGCAAATGGTAAAAAATTCCCATATGTTACCAGCTGTTATTGCCAGTGGCGGCAAATGGAATTTAAAATATCCCAGTAGGTTGCCAGTGGTAAAAAAAACCAAATGGCATAAAAAGTTTCAATTAATGCGAGTTTATTGCCGCCATCGAAAGGGAATAAAATCAAATTCGAGTTAATTCTAAATTCCATTTACCGCCAGTGGCAACAACAGATCTTTTCATCTCGTTTGTCACCACCTGGTAACATATGAGATTTTTTTCTTATTAAAATCACCACTGGCAACAACTGGGATTTTTTATCCCGGTTGTCCCGATCTGTTAACATATATGGGATTTCTTTAACCATTTGTCGCCAGTGGGAACAAAGCCAGTGATGACAACTGGGAATAAGCGGTATATTTTTTATGGAGGGACTAAAATGAGCAAATATGTATGCCCGAGACGGTGTCTATTACTTTTCACTTCGATTGCAAAAAAAAAAAAATATTTCAATCGTTTTCGCTCAACAAACCAAAATTCTGAAGGCTTCATGATATATTTTTTTTCGAATCAGATACAGATACAACAAACGCGGAAAAGGCAGGCTACTGGCTGTTTGAGTTTTGTTCACTCAGAAGTAAATTAAATAATTAGGTACTTTTTACTCCCTAGGGATTAAAAGATGCACTTTAATCCCGCTACGTAAGGCTATATTGACGTACTTTTCGAGCATGAGAGGTGATAAGATTATTTCAATATAGCAGGAGAATACTGTGATGTACTCCTTAATTTTTTCAAATTATGTGTACAACCTGTAGGTACAAGTAAAATAATAATGTATACTTTGTTTCAATCCATTTTAAACAAAAAGTAAACAAATAACTCCGACCCGACCATGGACAGTTTAGTGATGGCCAATTTTACTGCTACCGACAAATTGTTTAATTGAATGAATCGATTTGCTTAATTGAGTCGTACTAGCCGTTTTCATTACATAACCTATAAAAGCATATTTAAAATTTCCGAAATCTTAATTTTAAATCCACTTTCAAATCCTTACACTTGATACTCGTTCGATTGCGATTGAAACTTTCGATCTACTAATCGATTACAAAATCTTTAATTGAATGAACTGAATGTTTTGTTCCGTACAGCACAATGCAACCATAGACTATTCGTACATCTATAATTAAAATATAACCTCACTTTTTGACTACCATTTTTCAAATACAATTTTACGATGTTATTCAAATGAATATTGTTGGAAAAATTGATGAGGTATCAAGTCAAAATCTTCGACATGCACGTGAAAGTGTTACGTATTCGATTTATTGAGTATATGCTTTAGAAATTCAACCAAACCGTTTTGTTTGCATTTCGTTTAAAATTGATTGGAACAGACTATAACAACCATACGCACCGAGTGAAGTGTAGGCATTTACGCGCTGAACAGGTTTAAGTTCTTGCTCTTATTATACTATAGTTCCAACCTACCTGGAAGTCATAAAAATCTATTACACTGAGTGTTATTGTGAAAATAAATTATTTCAATTATTTATTGATTTGTCTACTGTATTTATTATACTGATATTTATTAAAGTAAGCATAAGATGTACATAATCATTATTTATAATAATAAATCAATGATGTATAAAACATTTACGTGAAATTGTTATTTTTTTATTTACCCAAAGAAAATTTCGTGCATCTCTGTGACTAAGCGAATTTTTGTAATAATAATAAATGTATATTGAGTCAATATAATTGCATGGTATCTCAAAATTACGTGACATTATTATACTAGGAACATTTTAGTCACAGCTAACTATAGAAAAGTAGAAAATGTAGTTAGCGCCCGCACTAGTTTCATACAGTGTTGGGCGTTAATCAATTAAATTTCAATCAGATTAAAAAATCAATTCAATTAAAATCAATTGCTATTGAATTGATTTTAATTGCAATTAATTTGTTTACTTGTTCTAAGAAACAATTAAAACCGAAACTACCGAATAAAAGTGTCATTACGAATATGGGTTAGGGGTTGGGTCGGTGGGGGGAACCCTAAATCACCCCTAACTCCCCCACCTAAACCCTAACCCACCCCTATATGCCCTATAAATTTATCATAATTGTCAGTTTGTTAATCAAAAACATTGAAAATTAATTAATTGTAGATATACGCGATTGACAATTAATTAATTGTCAATTGTTAATTGCCAGAACAATTAAATTTTGCTCAACACTGGTTTTATACAGGGTGGCCGCGGAGCGGGTGCGCGAGGACGCGGCGGACGCGCACCCGCTCCGGCGCAGACGTACGGGGAGAAGGCGAAGGCAGTTCGCTGCTCGCCTGATCCCCTAGTGAGACCAGCGGGCTCTGGACAGGGACTCCGGAGTCTGCATTGCACGGCCTCACTCGTCTGGGGGACGGGTCGGAGGACAACCGACTCGCCCCTCCGTTGGCGCGGGAGCCCTGGCGTAAGCTAGGGCGGCTGGGCGGCGTCGTGGTGAATGTTCACTGATCCCACGGCGCCGACTCAACCGGCGAGAGGGAAACACGGGGAGGTTTTAGTGGGGTAGGCCTTCCAGTGTGGAGGGAGAGTCCCCACATAACCCCTGAGTCTCCCTGGGCTCAGGGGTATCCATAAAGATTTCCCCCCCGTAAAAAAAAAATATTTGAAAAAATGCATGTATGTAAAAGGTCTAATATTTAAGATAAATATTAGTTCCGCGAAAATCAATACTTTACAATACAAAACCACCACTTGGGCATTACAGGGAGTCTATCTTAGCGTAAAGTACGTCCTTGGTTTAAAACTAATACTTCTTTGATCGTATCTGGCCCTGTGTTCTCTTTCTCCTCCCGAAACATTACTGTCAAATAAGTAATACTCCATCTCCATCATCATCATATCAATCGGAAGACGTCCCCTAACCAAAAAACCCCCAAAGATTGCCAGACTAGCCGGTCGGACGCAACGTGCATCCATCGGTTACTCGCCGCCCTTATCAGGTCATCCGTCCATCTAATAGGGGGCCGTCCCACTCAACGCCTTCCGGTTCGTGGACTACATTCGAGAACCTTTCTGCCCCAACGGTTCGATTACGTAGAGAAATACCGAGCATTGCTCGCTCCATGGCTCGTTGAGTCACTTTGAGCTTTTTTATGAGGCCTTTACCACGGCGCAGGTGAAAGGTGTTGGTGGTCACCACTTCGCCATGGTAGTTTAATGGAGAATAATAGACGAGTCGTGGGTTGGTAATTGACTGTCTTTATATTTTGTTTGAGCTACTTATTTATACTAATTTGGTACTGTGTCTTATGCTGATTCTCAAGGCATGGTTGTTAATTTTGCTTGCACTAAGACGTGCCTGAATGTCGGAAGAGGATTAGACATTCTGGCACGTCTGTGGCTGCTACAAGGCCCATAGTAAGTGACCACGTTTCAGAGCCGTAGCTCATCCCTGGCAACTCTTATTGCTCGAAGACATGTCTTCATGACCAGTGGTATTGCGGACGAGAAGACGTCCCGGAGCTTCCAACTCGACCAAATTGAAAACTCTCCGTGGCCGAACGGTTACCATGCGGTAACGACTGCTACGCAGAGGTCTCTGGTTCGATTCCCGGTCCGGGAGAAATATTTGTATAGCCTACATTTATTTCTCCCGTGAGTTTGGGTGTAATTTGTAGTTGTCTATATGTGTGTTTAAACAGTCTTATAACGTGGCCGAGTATTACTTATTCAGCAGTAATACCCCGTCCCGTTAAAATCAACTTCCTCCTAACGTTGATCCACTCTTTCTTTGTGCATGTGCTGTGTAAATTTATTTAAAAAAAACAATTTGTTTCTATAATAGTCTGTGTAGGTTCTCTGTCGTTGTAGATTCTCCTCTCAGTGAATTCTATCAAAATTCACCGGTCAATTTTTAAGTAAAAACGCGTTGCTCAACTTGACATTAGCGAAGTCATCGATTACTTCGGCCGGAATATTTAAGAAGAATTGTTTCAGACCCTATACGGAGAAAACTATTTCAGACGCATGTTTGACGGACACCGAGAATAGACCTCCTGCTTTCAGTGGCGTAAGTTATCACTGGTATGGTAAGACTTAGTTTCCATAGTCTAAGGATAATACCATCAAATATATAACCAGAAATAGAAAAGAAATGTCATTTAATTTCTTTGAAAACTATTCTGCCATATAGAATAGAATAGAAATCGTTTATTACTACGCCACAACAAAAATATACACAGTACTAAAATGAAGATTAAAAAAAGATGAAGCTAATTTAAAACAAAAAATTAAAATTAAAATAACAGCAAAAAAAAGGAATAATTTTTATTTAAATTCATACACAACAACAAAGCAAACATTAAATATTCAACACAATTAGATTGAATGTCATGTGTGCGGCTGTGGCGTATGTAACAGGATCTCACTCAGCTATTGTCACCACCGAGAAAAGGCTGTGACGCTGATTTTCAGTGGGCCCTAAAACCGAATGAGTACCGGACGTGTGTCGCGAATATACGAGTAAACTTAAATAAATTACATAAATATTTCTATAATGTAGTGTGTTGTGTTCAGTTATATGTATAGAATACTTAAATAATGATTTTGATACATATATATACAGTGATAAGTGTATGCAATGTAATGTCAATATCAAAATGGTGACAACTGCGCTTCGATTGGCCAGCCCGAATTCGTAACAATTGATGGGTGTCGTCAATTGTTTCACTTCAAATTGACCAGTTTAACTTGAGCTTTGCTATAATGGACGAAAATTAAAAAAATACATATTTAATTACCGATGAAATATGAATCCGTTTGTTGGTAATTAGTTTTCCCACACCACCGAATGGATCAGCCCCCCATAGAGATACTATCGTTATTACAATAAATACAGAATATTTTTAGAATATACGGAGACGTACACACAGGTCAGTTGTTGGCGCTGTACTATTTCAGCTTTCTAATTTGTAATTTCAGTGCAAACGAGAGTTGATATTTAAAAGTGATATAAGGCCCATTTGTCTGATGAATTGCCAGAGATGGATGGCTCTTATTTAGTCTCTATTTCTGGTTATATACTCGACGGGTAATACATACTCAGTCAGACTTTCGGATCTATACACTTGTGTATTACGGGACGAGATTTTTTTATCACTTATTTCTGACGTCTGTTAGTATCTCACGAGAAATAAAAGTAGGCGACACAACAGTGTAAATAATATAAAACAAAGTCGCTAGATGACTACTTAACACTAAGTGGTCAATATTAAAACACAAGATACTTTAGTCTTTTATGTCACATATAATACAATACAAACACACATTTTCGTGTACTATTAATTTACAATAAGTAAATAATAATAGAGAGATCCGTTATAATTGGCCATATAAATTATACATATAAATGAATACACTCGTGTTCCATCAAAGCTGCTCAACAACAAAATAAATAAATAAATAATGTGCCAGACAACCCAGAACCAATTTAGAAAGTTAATTTCTCAAACTAGTCCTACCGGGAATCGAACCCGGAACCTCAGCATCCAGCGCCCACAGTGCAAACCGTTGGGCCACCGAAGTCGTCAAGGAGTATCACAGATGAAACTAAAGAGACTGTTCCAAAATAAACCATTCGTTAATTCGTAATACAGCCACGTGTGACCTTACTTCAAAAGTGCTTTTTAACCGATTTAAAAAAGGAGGTTCTCAATTTGACTATTTTTTGTGGCGTTTGTCACGCGATTATTCCGTCATTCGGCAAATAGATTCGAATTAGTACATTTACCAATTTGACCAATACATACGTAGGTAATAAAATTCTCTTTTTGGCGGTTAGATGTCGCTCAACGTTAAGAAACTGACAGTTGTAGATATCAGTCTGGTTACATACTAATTTAGTCATTTGAGTCATATTTAAATATGATTTTATTTCCAGACTTAGACAGGTCTTTAGTATAATTTTAATAATCAAATTATTTTATTTTATTCAAAACAATTAAATTATGAAAGAATTATTTTAACGATAATTTCGCCATTGTTCTTTGTTTTACCGTAAGTCCAGATTGACTTTGCGTCCGAAAAAGAGGGGATAATATTATTTGATTCTCACATAAATAACTGATCTATTGTACTTTTTTAAATAAACATTTTTTTTAAATTTGATATAGCGATTAATTGTTCCATCTATGTTAGTTGATCTATGGATAAATTATAAAGGAAGTGCATACAAGGTAACGCTGTTATTATATTTAATCATACTAAATTAATATTTGGTATTGAAAAATAATATTATTTGATCATCTTTTTTTATTATTAGTCTTTTGATATTGATCTCCTAATAAATCTTGGTTGCTTGGTTGTGCCCTCCATTACAGGTTAGGTTAGTATATGAAAAAGCAGAACGAGCTGAGCGAGCGAAGAGAGCGTGACGTGGCAGCGGCCGACGAGTGCCAGAAGCCAATTTGCTTGCGTTTCCCAACATGTTTTCAGGTCTAATTATAATTAATATAATATTGGTAAATATAATGTTTAACACAAAGATTAAACACTTAGAAAAAATTCCTTCGATCTGGCCGAATTCGAACCGACGTCTTCTAGCAAACCGTGCCAGACGCTATGCCAACTAAGCAACGAACCAGGGACCTCACGAATTTTTCTATGTCCTTGTTGTCGTATCTTTGTATTTGGTTTTTCCACGATTTTTTGGCCGTAGCGCCATCTATGAGAAATCTATGAATATATTTCGTCACCCAATTAGATAAATATTTAGTTAAATAAATATAATCAACATTTACCTAGTTTAAAAAACAAGTATCTAAATTTTTAATGCTCGTTTGTCTTACTTTTGAGGCCCAACATAAAACTATCAAAATTAATTTATAGAAATTAATCATTTTTTGCGTACCTCAGAACAGATTAAGATATTGATTGATTTAATTTATTTTATGTCTCAGAGAAAAAGGATCAATTATTAAAAAAGGTTACCGTTTAGTTTTTTTTGCCTGCCGCTGTTACAAATTTAAACATGCCAAAAAAAAATTGTCACTTTTCGGAATTTATCGGTCAATCTTTGAGTTAAAAACGCGTGAGTTCCTCAACTTGGCATTGGCGGATTTACCGATGGTATCGATGGGGTTGTAACACTATAAAGTATAATTCATATTTTACAAAACTACCGCACATTGTCATTTTTACTTAGTATTGGCGAAATCATCGTTTATTTCGATGGAGCCATAACATTTAAAAGAAGAAGAAGTACTTTGCATTTTGAATAAACCACTACACGATTATTCACACCTCTGTTCACATTTTGCAACACGAGTATGATCACCCGCATCGCACCTGATGCTACATAATGTCCATTCTGATGCTACAAACTCCTTATTTATTCATGAAAGCCACTCTCCTCAATATCCATATTCTGATGCTGTCTTTTCACATGATTCTTCAAATTAACATTCTGTGTAAACGAGGCGTTGCACAGCATACACCTATACTTTTTCTCGCTGCTATGCGACTGCATATGTACTTTCAAACCCCTTAAGCGCGGGTATGTTTTCCCACAATTCTCACAACGGAAATTCCTCTCCCCCGTATGTATTGCCATATGTTCCCTTAATCTCGAAGGCAGGTAGAATCTTTTCTCGCAAAGGTCACACTGGTGTTTGAAAATTTTCAAATGAAACCGTCTATTGTGTTCCCGTAAAGATTTTCTGCTGTCGTAAGCCCTGTCGCAGTGGTCACACTGGAATAATCTTTCCTCCCCATGCACTTCGATCATGTGCCGGTATCTTAAGGTATAAGTGAAGAGTATAGCATCGCATTTAGGGCACTGGTACGCTGGTTCCTTCTTATGCGTTCTCGTCTCGTGAAGATTCCTGCTGTGTTTTGATTTAAACGATTTTCCGCAATCTTTGCAAGGGTATATTTCTTCAATTTTCTGATGCGTTTTTTGGTGTAATATCAACATACGCTCTTCGAAGTAATGTGCCCCGCAAACGTCGCATATGCAAGTGCCAAAATGTTCGGCCATATGCTTTTTTAAAGCATGAAAGAAACTAAAAACGCTGCCACACTCTATGCACGTCAGATTGTTGCTGGTCAATTTGAATTTCAAAAATTCATTCTTCACGTCGTATATTAATTTGCCGTGAACATTAACTAGGTGTTCTTTTAGTACATTTATGTCTTCAATGTGTTCTGCGCACAATCTGCAGTCTATTCTAGAAATATCGATTTGGGGCAGTTTTTTATTTATCAAGGAATCTTTAAAATTTACAGGGTCATGCGTAAGTGTGTGCTCTCTTAATTTGTTAGGGTCTGTGTGCACTTGCCGGCAATATAAGCAGTAGTAGTCGCTGAATGAGGTATCGAATGGACAGACGAGTGAGTTTTCCACTATGGTTGCAGTGTTGTGAAATGATTTATGTTCGTTGTCGACACGTGATTTTGGTGGTTTCGGTGGTAGTTGTTCCTGTTCATCTGTAAAAAAAAATTATTAATTATTAATTATAAATTATGGTGTACATCATAGTTTTCCAAAATGGCCCCCTAGCGGGCGCTGAAGAGACCTAGGAGGGGTAGGGATATCAGAAGCAATTGGGGGGCGTTAAACTGCACTACATATATGTAATTTTTTTCCTTATGATTTTTTGTGTTAAGTTAATGAAAAGTACATTTTTTTTTCATATAAACTTTCTTTCAATTATTTTTTGTAGAGGAGTTAAAATTAAAGTAAAATTCGTGACGTCCCCTGGTTCGTTCCGTGGCTTAGTTGGTATAGCGTCTGCCACGGTAAGCTAGAAGACGTCGGTTCGAGTCCGGCCGGATCGAAGGAATTTTTTCTGAGTCTTCGATCTTTGTATTAATAATAATGGTTATAGAATTTTATTTTATAATTAATGCTATATAAAATATTGAAAGATATGCGTAAAATATATTACGAATCTTTGAATTATATTTTTCCGGAAAAATTGCCACTATTTTAAATTTTTAGGAAAATTATCCAACGTTAGGTACCATCGTCGATGAAATACTTGAATCCAAACTCATGAAAAAAACGACGCAAAATTAGCAAAGGCAACACTGTCAAAAGAAGTGTTTATTATTGATGTAATGGAAGTGTCATAACATAAATCTTAGCGGAAACGAAGACGGAAACGGAGACGAAAGCGGATAGGGAAGCGAAATTATAATTATCATAAAGATCTCAACGAAATAGTTTCTAACAGGAACGGAAGCAGAATTCTGTTGAATCGCTAGTATTTAGATATATTTCATATACTTAAAATTAAATACATCCATATTTTAGAGATGAATCTGATGATTCAATTGAAATTTTATCTTAAATTACTTCCAATATGGCTGATTTTAGTAAAATTTTCAGATATTTTTAATATTATACTATGTATGGAGACCAGTACCAACCATTATGCTATAACACTTACCGAGCTGCTGCAACTGGTCTAACTTTTCTTCCATACGCCTCATCCTCTCCATCATCTCCTGTTTAGCTCTCTTATCATCTTTGCTCTCTCTTTTGTCTTCTTTACTCTCTCTCTTTCTGCCTTTCTTCTTTACTTTAGTCGATTTCTTTTCCTTTTTCACCTTTAATTTCTTTGTGGCAGCTTTGGTTTTGGGTGGCTCGCCTTTTATTAGTACTAAGTTTTCTGGGTCTGTAATTTTTGTATATAAGATTATTTTCAATTAACACGTCATAGCTGTCATTAAATGAAAAATGTATCGTAAGGCGTTTGGGTATTTAATAAATAAAATTAGTGTATATGTCTGTATGTGGTGCGTGCGTGCGTACGTGCGTGCGTGCGTGCGTGCGTACGTGCGTGTGTGCGTGCGTGCTTGCGTGCGTGCTTGCGTGCGTGCTTGCGTGCGTGCGTGCGTGCTTGCGTGCGTGTGTATAGTGTGTTTGTGTGTGGCTAACTAAAAATACATTCATACATACATTGCATATAAGCACGTGAAATTACAATTTTTGTAATTTCGCATGCTAACTTAACTTACAGACATTTATTTATATAATAAATATTAATACAGAATGCTTATAATCATAGGTTTTAAGAAAATTAATCCTCATTTATATTTGAATCAATAAATCCCTTATTTTGTAAAAACCGTAATTTCCAAAGTTTCAAGTTTTTGTTTGAATGCAGCCATTTCCAAATCAGGTGTACTCGCGAAGTCCGTAAACTAAAAGACGGGCCCGTCCTAAACCAGCCCGAACTGACGGACGAAAACCTACTCTCTAATAATTTCGGAGTGATGAGATTCGAACGGAACCATAGACAATTTTAGCGAACGAACAATGTCTGCTGATAGAGTTGCACTATTGTCACCGCATTTACCGGTTTTCTTATTTTGTGATGTCATAGCTTTTTAAATCAAGATTAATACGATTAACGTTATAAAATTGCCCGATTATCGCAATATCCTTAATATTATATAGTATATAAAATATAAAATGTATTATATGGAATAATTTTTGCCATTTTTGTTTATATTGGCTTTTCAGATACAACTAATTGGTACCTTATTGTACATATAATTTTTTTTATATTTATTTAAGTTTTTTTACTAAACTGATTATTGATTATGTTTATTTCCAGTGTTATATGCATGTATGTATGTTTGATCTCTTCGCTCTACAATTCTGTCTGTGTATGTGTATAATTATGTATTAGAACTATGACTATAACAATCTATATAACATTACACTTCTAACATTATAGTTATTGTTTGTGATAGAAGTATTATTACCGTTACCTATATCATCCTGACAGGCAGTGTCTGCGGTATCCATGTCAATGTCATCATCAAGATGCCCAAGTTTGGACAGAGGGGTGGTCTCTTCCTTTAACTCTGTGTCATCCGACTCCTGTTTGATTTCAGTTGTAGGTTCAAGATCTGAAAGTTATGATACTGTAGTTAAAAAGAATGTCTGTTATTTTCCTTTTTTTTTTATTCAAGGGAAACAAACAGACATAAAACAGGTAAATGATACAAAAACATCGACTAGAACAAATAGACCTGGAGTTCCACAAACATAAACAAGAATTTGCGAGTAAGTTACGGTACAAACTACATTGAAATACAACAACATAATAAACTAGATATAAAAGTAACATCCCGAAAATTAGGTACAGTTCCTTGTTATGCGTAAATTAGATTTAAAAATTAAAAAATTACTTTTCTTACTTTCTTCTTAAAACTACTAAATTTTGTACATTTTTCAACATTCACTTTTAAGAATCGACACTACCTGAGCTCGAATTAAAACTTTTCCTGTACTATTATTATATACTGTACTGTACGTGTTCTATTTAGTTTCAGTTGATACAAAAAAAAACATTGGTATATGTAAAGTGCCTATTAAATGCGGCTGATTTCTAGTAAGTTTGTGTTTTTTTTTCTATTGTCAAAATCTTTGGGAATTATATTTTCACACTGTCACACCCCGGACACTCCATACAACAGTCGAAAGTTATTTACCTACTACTACTACATACAGCAAGGCGCTATCTGCACCCGCGCAAATGTGTGCGTCAAGTGGCAGGGTTACCCATCACATTCTCGTAATATTACGTGTTCAGAGCGGCAACGCAGCCAAAATTCTAGCGCGAGTCTGTTATCTATAATTCTATTAATAGAATCCTAATAATTGCACATGTTCATTACGTATTTATATCGATAAAATATTATATTTTTCATTAATTCACTAGCTAGAATAATATTGACGATTTAAAAAATATATTAAAAGCACTTAAAATGTTCTATTTTGGACAGGAACTGGGTGAAGAGCACGTCAAGCTTTACACTCAACATTTAAATCCAACTCTATAATAAGAACAGTCCAAAGTATGTACTTGTGTTTGTAAAAAGTGTCAAGCTTGCCGTGCTCTTGACTGTACCTCTAAATAAGGTGACCAAAGTATTTAAAATTGCGTGTCCAAGTTTATCATTACCTAGTTAATAATTAGTTATATTCACTACGTAATATTTGTATTGTATAATAACAAATTGAAAATTCGAAAACCCTACTGCTGTCTACTAGCTCACGAAGTGATGGCGTCTTATTATATTGATTTAATAAATCTGTATTATATATTACTCTGTACTAAAGAAAACAATAACTGAATGAATCTCAGACACAAGTGTTTTTACTTACTTCGTTTCAACTTCAGAAAACGAAAGAAACTCCTCTCTTTATCCCGTTTAGATGATGATAAACAGCCGTACACAGCACAATTCACGACCATTATAAATAGTAACGTAAAATGATGTTATACAGGGTGTCCGGTAATGAATGTATCATACTGAAATGGCTTATAGCACAGCTTAAGACTGTTCCAAAAAAAATACAAAAAAAAATCTATCCCATGTAGTACCTAAGGAATGTTTTTTTTTCTTAAAAGTTAATTATTTTTACCTTATTTTAGGTTTTTGTGCACTATGACTACAAATGAATGAATTTATTTGGTTTTTTGGTGTTATAATATTCTACGTTAACTGTGTCCTAAGATAAGCAGTAAATGGTATGACTAAGCAATGTACATTTAAAAAAAAAAGTTTAACTTCATTTTTCAGAGAAACAATTTATTTTTTACGAAGTTTACGCGCCTTCTGTATAAAAAAAAAGTATGAAAACCTGTGTGGCCAAGTACTTTAAAATAATGTAGGTTTAATGAGGATTCCAAAATGGTATCATATCTCATTGTATCTAATGTAAACATGAAATTATTGCTATTAATGTGCAAAAGGAGTAAATTTTACTAAATAACTATGTTTGCAAAATTGGACCGTTTCTTGTCCTGAATTGTACCCGACCAATGGGGTTTAATAAAAAAAACATTATTAAACATAAATAAAACTTTATTTCTAATATTTACAGTAAATGTTCAAATTGTTTGCCACCGGCTCTGATGCAGGCTCTACATCGACGAATAAAAGCTCTATTAAGCAACCGTGTATAGCGTCGTTCACAAATTTTTAATGCGGCCGCACGGACGCGTCTACGTAAGTCTTCCAAGGATCGGATCGGTTTGCTGTACACTTCTTCTTTAAGGCAGCCCCAATAAAAAAAATCCAGTGGATTTAGATCCGGTGAACGCGGAGGCCATAAAATTGGCCCCAGACGACCAATCCACCTATTTGGATATGTCACATTTAAATATGCACGAACAGAAACAGCATAGTGCGCAGGACAGCCGTCATTTTGGAACCAATGGAATTCCCTCAGCTCTTCAGGCACGTCTTCCATTAAATTAGGCAGATCATTTTGTAGGAACTCCAAATAACTTTGGCCAGTAAGAGTCTCCGGTAGTTCAAATGGTCCTATTATTTTTCCATTTAATATTCCCGTCCAATAATTTATTTTAAATTGGTGCTGTGATCGGTCTTCCCGCATAAGATGGGGGTTTTGCAGTTGCCAGCTATGAAGGTTGTGTAAATTTAAGTATCCGTCTCTTTTAAGTGTTGATTCATCGCTCCATAGAATTTTGTTAAAAAACTGGGGGTCTTCCTCTATCTTGGCCAGCATTTGTCGGCAAAAACGCAATCTTAAATTGTAATCTCTGGGTAGGAGAGTTTGGACGCGTGTGACATGGTATGGATAAAATTTATGTTTCTTTAAAATATCGTGCACAGTCGATTTTCCAATTCCCGTGCGTCGTTCTATTGCTCTCGTCGACGTGGAAGGATCTTGCCGAATTTCTTCAAGAACCATCTCTTCATATTCATCACGAGGTGCTCTTCCAGCGCTAGTGCCACCAACACCACTACCAGGCATTCTTCCTTCTGAGTAACATTGGTGGACTCTTATAAATACGGCATTAGATGGGTGACGTGCGTTAGGGTATCTTTCTCTGTAAAGAGCTTCAGCTGCTCTTGAGCTGGTGCCGCATTCCCCATAAATAATATGCATGTTTGCATATTCTTGTGGCGTATACTGAGTACGTGGCATTTTTATTCACAGACACAAAATACCTGTTCAGTCCAGAAACAAGCCAAGTCGTCGCAAATATCACCAAACAAACAAAGTCCAAATCAGTAAGCAAAACTATAGTCCAGTAAAATAGCCAGGTCGTAGTTGAACACTGATTGAAAGCAAATCGCAAAGGAACAGAAAACACGTGCAAAACCGAACAAATCGAATGATGCACTAAATCCTTTTCGTTTTTTTATACATTTGCTGTTAATTGTCACTCTTTGCCTCTGGTCCAACTCTGACCATTCTTATCGTATGAACAAAAGGCAGGCGGAATGTGGCTATCGCGCAGGTGGCAAATAACGGTCACACGTGGTACTTTAAAGACAACAATTGAAAAATTACTTTGATTGGATTTTTGCATAATTTTGCTGTAAATAAGTTTTATTAATGCCTAATATTTTTTTTTTCAAAACTCAATACTCAAGAACAATTCAGGATACGAAATGTTCCAATTTTACAAACATAGTTTTTTAGTAAAATTTACTCCGTTTACACATTAATAGCAATAATTTAATATTTACATTAGATACATTGAGATATGATACCATTTTGGAATCCTCATTAAACCTACATTATTTTAAAGTACTTGGCCACACAGGTTTTCATATTTTTTTTTTATACAGAAGGCGCGTAAACTTCGTAAAAAATAAATTGTTTCTCTGAAAAATGAAGTTAAACTATTTTTAAAAAAAAATGTACATTACTTAGTCATACCATTTACTGCTTATCTTAGGACACAGTTAACGTAGAATATTATGACACCAAAAAACCAAATAAACTCATTCATTTGTAGTCATAGTGCACAAAAACCTAAAATAAGATAAAAATAATTAACTTTTAAGAAAAAAAAACATTCCTTAGGTACTACGTGAGATAGATTTTTTTTTGTATTTTTTTTGGAACAGTCTTAAGCTGTGCTATAAGCCATTTCAGTATGATACATTCATTACCGGACACCCTGTATATTAACGTACAAATTTTCGTAATGAATAAATGAAAACTATATTCAAAAGTCAAAGCCGTCTTCGCGCGAAAACGACTCGCCGACAACCTTGTTCTCGTTCAATGTGCGGGGCGGCGTGGTGCAGTATCTAAAGCTAGGGAGAGGCGGAGAGTGTCCGTTCTCGTTACGTTTTTGTTCTCTGACACTGTATAGTAATCAGTTCACCAATCAGTCAATCAGTAGTTCAATATATATAATATATATATTATATATATTGAAGTGCGCCGCGAGATTATGCGAATGTGTGCATGTTATTATACTGTGGTAGTGAGTTTTACATATCACATCTCATCCATTTCATGGCAGAATATAGCCTCTGCTATCACTTACCTCAAGAGTTGAGCGTGTGTGCGCTATGGTTGATTCCGCATTACAGTGAAAGTGTAGAATCAATCACTTTGGGAAAAATATATAGTAAAAGTGAGGATATAAAATCTTTAAAGGAATAAAACGACAAGTTTTCTGTTGCGAACTATTAACCAATAGCAACACGGTATAGTCGCGGGTATAACCGGGTATATACCCTTATGTACACTGTGGTATAAGGCAATAGTCGCTTTTAGTCCTATTTTTTTCCTAGACATTATGGAACAATACGAAAAGTGTCTTTATGTAACTATATATCTGTACTTAGTCGTTAAACTTGCGTGTATTTTTTGAGTTGAGACCACTTGTACCTTTAGACTCGTAAAAAATGCGTGATAACTAAAATTATGCCTTTAAAAACAGTGAGTTATTATAAATAGTTATGTAATCGATCACGCTGAAGCCAATGGTGCAATAAAAACAAAAGGGCATAACTCGCCTTATTCTGTTTTTCATTAGAGGCACTTTTTCAGTGTCAAATTCGTAATTGTTTGATTTATAAATGTATCGCTATATACATATACACACATAGTGTCTATACAAACTCGCATTACATTTCTTATTTTTCATCATACAGGGAGAGTACTTAGAACCAATCGAAGGTAAGTCTTTTCAATTAAAACCACAAGGATCAATTGCTGAAGTGATGATTGGATCACGTCCACAATAGTAGTTTACTCTAATAGTGATGATATAGATTACCTGTGCCAATAAGTATCCTGGCCTGCAGGAGCTTCTCCTCGCAGCGAAGCACTTGCCGGCGAAAGGCACTGGCGTCTCGAAGTCGCGTCACGCAGGTGGCACAAATGACGCGTTCTACAGCCTCGCCGTCTAAGTGGGAAAGCTGGAAAGCGTTTTTGTTCATAAGATGATTTGAAATTTTTCAAGCCGGTTTGGGGCTTCCAAGTACTAAACAACAAAATATTTCAAAAAGAAGCATTTCAATTATAAATAATGTTATTTATTGTCATCTTTTTTAAAACTGAACTAAATGACCCTGATGGAGATACAACTGTCGTCCATTTAACTGTCTGGCTTGTATCTTTCTGTGTGTTATTATATAACTGCCTCCGTGGCCGAATGGTTACCATGCCGGACTGCCACGCAGAGGTCCCAGGTTCGATTCCCGGGCCGAGAGAAATATTTGTATGGCCTACTTTTATTTCTCTCGTGAGTTTGGGTGTAATTTATGGTTGTCTATATGTGTGTCCATGGCATCCGCGACACAGGGCTACCCTAGTGGGGGGTATGTTGAGTGTGTGCGTTATTATTATTATTAATTGTCAGTCAAATATATCTTTATTTCGTAGGTAAGCAAATTATACTTGAATTCGTCATATTGATCAATCTCTCCTGCTCTTTCGTAAAGCAGTTACCCCTGAGAAAAGGTTCCCAAAGTTTTTGGGTCACCGCCCATTTTGGCAAGCTGAAAAAATTTATTTTTTATATGTATATATAAATAATTTAACACAAAAAAATCACAAGAAAAAAATTTTATATATGTGTAGTGCAGTGTAAAGCTCTTGATAGAGCACACTGGAAAGATCTGGACGGGGCCTATGCCAAGAGTAGTGTTGTTAAAAAAACCATTTTTTTTGTGAGGTGAAAAAAAACAATGAAAAGAAACTGTTATTTTTTTCTGGAGTACGTTTTTTTTCTAAAAGTATGAAAATAAAAATATGACAATTGTATTTTTTTACTACATTTCCTCTTTTGTTGTTAATATTATTCTTCATAGACAAATTGCTCAAAATAAATGGGCAACACTATGAAGTGTTGTGAATTTGTGGCGAATTCCCCAAATTGCGGTGAATTTCAACTAGATTAGGCATTTTGTGGGATTGACGCTATGTGGGGAAAATACGGGGATTCTAACATTTTACCTTTTTTTTTTTTTTAAATCTATCTATTGCTGTTGCATCGCTACTTTGATGATTACTGATAAAGACACTATTTATTTATTTGTCTAAGAGCGATATCAATATTTATTTCCACATCGCACATATACCTTATATAGCAACATTTACATAGAATTATTGGCAAGCCGCTTATATAAAATTATTCAGTAGGGTATGAATAAAGGAAACGAAGACACAGAAAATATTGATGACATTACAAGTGTGGGTAACACCTGTAACAGTAGTAACACTAGTACCACCACAAATGAAGATTTTGTTATAATTACCATGGTAATTGATTTTTATAAACATGTTATATATTTTCAAATATATATATTCGTAAAACAAAAGTTAGTGTCTTATTTTATTTCAGTTATTCCATTTTACTTTTTCTGACAGAAAACAAAATGTAGAAAAAAACCAGGGCGCTGTGTTTTTTTCCAAAATGTGAAAAAAACATTTGGTTTTGTTTTCAAGTTACAACTCAGCGTGCCTCTTGCCTAGTCAACACTAGGCAAGAGGCACTCTGAGTTAACAGATATAATGTAAAAATTTTAAATGCAATGTAAAATTGTAATGTAAAAATATCTCTAAATCAGCTACAGGTGCAATCTACAGCAGAGGTTCCCAGACTTTTTTCTCATAGACCACTTTCAAAATTTGGCTGGTTCCGGTGGACCCCCTGCAGCTACATTTCTACCATATTCCCAAAACTCGACAAAAAATGTGAAGATTAGATCTAACTATGGATATTTGCAACGCAAATTGCTGAGTTCCAACCACAAATTAATAGTTTTCGAAAAAAAAGTGAAAATTTAATTGATTGTGCTGTGAGTGGATGTAAAAAAAGTAAAGACACATTGTGCTGAATATGGAATATGCAAGTTTTTACAAGTAAATGTCACTGAGCTTCTTAAAATATTATCTGCCTGCATTCATAGGTGAAGTCAAGCAAACATTTTAGTTCTTCACTATTGGAAGCAGATATCTGAGCAAGGACAAAATGAACTAAATGAACTAGAAGACTGACCTACAGCTGACCTATTGAACAAACTAGGATCGCTCCCTCTAAGGACCGGTCAGGCACAAGTCTACTACTAAGTTTTCTCTGAAAAAAGAACTACATGCTTTTTGCCAAACAATATTCATGCGAGAACAATGTAAAATCAAATTACCTAGGGCATGCAGAACTTGATGAAAAAGCGTTTTAAAACTGTGTAAAACCGTAAATTTAAATGGACATATAATTCAGACCTTGCTAAATAGTTTTAAGCGTATAAAACTAGCATTTTGTGAGATATTTACCAGTAAACCGAAGGTATCGACAAACATGTCCGAATACACTTCTTTTTGCCCTAACCACTCGTATTCCACGTTTAATAACCGACATTTCTTTACCGCACCGCAACAACGGCATAGGCCCGGGTCAATTATAGGACCTTTTCTGCTGCTTGTAGTCATTTCGACGATATTTTTCATAACATTTGAGCAACTACAGAAGCGATTTCTATTGCATTGTTTGACGTTTATTTACACACATTTTTGAGGCTAAATATGGTATAGTCTGTGGAAGGAAGACTGTTCTTACATCGCCATCTGTTACTGAATACATAAATAAAATTATATCGTGAGTGGGATATTTTGTGCTCGAGATGGAAGTTGTATTTTTTTCAACTCGAGTAACTCGAGTGGCTGCTAATTTGAGTTGGAACTCGAGTTAACTCGACTAGGTTTGATAGAGCAACCGCGAGTCGAGCGTGCTCCGGAGGTTGCCAAATCGACCGAGTGAGAGCAAATAGCCGACGCGAGCTGTATGGATGAAGTATTCGACTCTGCGGGGAACCGCACCGAGGTAGCTCGAGTTCACAAAAAGTAGCTCGACTTGACTCGTTGTGAGAGTGACTCGACTCGCCCATTTGTGCTCATTTTTGAATTGAATTATTTCATTCATACGATCGTACGATACACGATCATACATGCGTACAAACGTGGCGGCATCTGTGATGGAGTAGCTAGTACTAATTACGAGGATTATTGTACACTGCAGTGTTGCCAGATTAGGCGATTTTTCGCCATTTAAGCTACTTCGAGGGGTCGCGCGGTGACTAAAAAAGTGATCGGCGACTCGGCGATATTTTTTAGGCTATGTTTAAAATAGGAAAAGACGATTTTAGGCTACTTAATAAAATGTCTGGGGAATTACAAATTTGATTGGGGATTTTGTGGGGAATGGAGTTGTAAAATAACTCATTTGGGGGTTTGAGTATTTCTACGTGTGGGGAATTGAGGAAATAAGAGATTTTGATATTGCCAATGTCTTGCAGCAAGCAGAATTGTAGAATTGTTTTCATTGATTTTTAGGGATTTTATGGCTTGGGCGAATATCGGCTAATTAACACACATAAATTGGCGAATTAACTTCGCAAAAGTCTGCCAACACTGGCACTCTGCGACACTGCATATTTGACAGTTTGGGCCTGTTGTTTTGCTGCGAAATCGTCGCGCAAAAAAAGCATAAAAAAAAAAAGCATAAAAAAGCATAAATGTCCTACGTGCACTTTCTGGTGTTCGTTGGGGATCACATCCGTATAACCAAAAGCTCCTGTACAACGCAATCATTAGAAGTCATTTTGATTATGGCGGCTTCCTTCTGGAACCATGCAACAAAATAGCCTTGGCTAAGATGGACAGAATCCAGGCAAGATGCCTGAGAATAATCACAGGTACCATGAAATCCTCACCAACAAACGCTCTTCAAGTCGAATGTCTGGAGCCCCCTCTACATCTACGTAGACAATTCCTTGCTAATAGATTCCTCTTCAAGATCTTTCAATATTCTTCTCACCCTTTGCTTCCCGTATTGCAATCCCTGTCGGAGATTATCCCTTCCTCCAATTATTGGTCACACAAGAAACCCCCCCTTCTTATCAACAGTTTTAACAAAATTTCCAATCTCCCATTCCCTATTTACCAAAATTATATGAACCCGTTGTTTGAAACTGATTTTAAATGTTTAACGTTTCGCCCAACAGTCTATCTTAGTTTTGGCATCATGAAAGATACCCCTGGAGCAAACCAAGTCTTCAACGATATAGTTGAGAGAGAATGGCATGACTGGACTACTGTTTTTACCGACGCTTCAAAATTACACGAACATGGCGACTTGGGAGCCGCGGTTTGGTTCCCCAAGTTCAATGTCGTACTCAGTTTTAAATCCCCCTATCTGAATTCGGTCTTTTCGGGAGAGGCAATTGCAATACTCGAAGCCATTTTATATATTGAGTCCCATAAAATTAATAAATGTTTGGTTTTCTCAGACTCACTAAGTTGCCTCCAAGACATTATTAAGCTACCGTTTCATTCCAAAGACAATTTCTCCATCACCCTCCAAATTAAGGAAGCTCTGTACCGATGTCATTGTGCGGGAATTGAGGTAACTCTGGCCTGGATTCCCGGTCACACTGGGATCAGTGGCAACGAAGCAGTAGACGCCTTTGCAAAGGATGCGACAAGAATTGGCGTGTGCAAATACTGTAAGTGCTTTCCCAGAGATCTGCTCGCCATGACTAAACCCCAAATGCTAGCCTCCTGGTCGGTCCTTTGGCAGGAATCACGACAAACTGTTGGTAGACACTATGGTAATCTCCAACCAAATCTACCCACTAAACCCTGGTTTTTTAAACGTCGCGATTTGCCTAAAAACATCACTTCCACTATTATTCGTTTGCGCTTAGGCCATGTTTGCACACCTGTATTTTTGCGTAAAATCAGAGTTCGAGATCACTCTCTGTGCGAGTGCGGCCTAGAAGACGGTACCTTGGAACACATTTTTTTCAATTGTCCTAATATTGCTGTTCCACTTTATAACTTACTTTCTCCAAAATTCCCCCGCCCCGTTAACATAAACAACCTCTTAACTTTAGTGTTCTCCCCCCATATTGTTACTCTATGTAAATTTATCCACTTAAATAACATATATTTATAAATATTGTTTTGCTGTTTTGTTTTACATTCTCAACTGAGTACTCCCGTAGTCCAACTTACCAACACCGGTTAATGTCCTATTAGAGCTTAGCGAAAATTTTTTTTTTGTTTCGTTTTTTTTTCTTTCAACTGTGACATTGGCAAAATCATCAGTTCTCATATTGATGGAGCCATAAAAATAAAAAGTGAAGTGAAGTCGCGCAAAATGACGGAGCCATAGATACAAAAGTTGAAGTTGAAGTTGAGCAGTGTGAGCAGCTTGTGGATTGGAGAGATTCAGATCTTCTACGAAAAATGTAAATTAAATACTACATAAAATGAGTACGAAAACTAATAAAGGGCCGGTGTTCGACCCGGGGCTATGCCGCTGCTGTGGTGTAATGAGAAAATGTCGTCTAATGAATGTGGAATACGAGAGTTTTGGACAGAAGGAAATCTACTCTGATATGATTATGGACTGTTTTGGGTTGTTGGTAAGTGTTATTATTATATTCATAGCCTCTTTACAAAGGCTAGGAGAACGTTGTATTAGTAGTGAATTATACTCTCCATTTTTTAAAAGTAACCCACGCATCGTATTCGCTTTTTAATAAATTCAGTTGAACAGTATTTATGTTTTTCTTTTTTATTGTTCGTGGTTGTGGCACAGATGTTTGCCGGCATTTACTATTTGTATATCAGTAAACTATGTTCCAGATGTCCCATCTGGACGGAAAACCCACAGAGAGATTAATCTGTGCAACATGCGTCAAACGTCTTCGTGAGGCTCTGGACTTCCGGAGGCAGGTGCTGCAATGCGAAGAGGCGTTTCTGCAGATGAGAATGTATGATGCCAAGGAGGAAGGTGAAGCATCATCTTGCTTTTTATTTTGTCTGTGGCTTCCTTAAAATTTTGTTTACTGAATTATTATTATTATTTTCTTTATGGCGGCCACTAAGCTCGCTTAGTTTTGAATTGAAAATGAAATTGTTTTTGGGTAAAGCACCAGACATATTGGTTTGTTTAAAAATACAAATATATGTGATTTCGATCTTTATTACTATGATAAGTTTTAAAAACAAGTCAAAACACTTTGTAAAAGAAAAAAAAAAAATCACTCTAATTTTCTTTATTTACAAAAAAATAATAATCTCAAAAACCTTCCAGTAACCTTCAATTTGCTTCTTTATAGCACTGAGACTTCCAACTCTCATGTTGGCATAATTGTCCAGTGATATGATAGAACCACATAAAGGTGATTGCCATTAAGGAAATAATAATAAAAATCGCCTCATAAACATAATATAATTTGTCATTTATTTTGCATTTTCAACGTCAATATATTATTTTAATTTAAAATACAATGAACCATATATTCACAACAATTGGACAAGAACCAACCCACACCTCGAGTGAAATTGAGTTATGTATTTAGGTAAAACACCGGACGTGTCCTTTACCCGCTCACAAAAGAACCTGGCAATATACCAAGCCAAAACGGAGAAAATAAAAGTCCTTCAGGGTACCAACCCTAAATAAGTAACTTTTTAATAGCTAGAAAGAATTATAGTGCTTAACTTCGTATAATGTATTTTTTTAAATATGCTAAATGGATCCATGTCACATGTACTGAAGTACTGTAGATCTTTAGCGTTTTCATTACGAAAACTAGAACATGGTTCTTGTTAACTAAATAAAAAGTACATAATGTTTTCTATTTATTGCTGTATACAATAATAGTTTCCCTATATCATTCTCAATGCTACACATAACTCACGTTGTTTGTCTCAAATAACTTACCTATTTATTTTTTCACACTGTTTTTACAAAAATCTAATTATCTCGAAAGTGACATTTTGTGGGTTGGTTCTAGTTTGCATAACTATGTCCAATTGTAATATAAACAGTAATAGTTAAAACAAAAAAAACTATTACTAAAAAACAATTAATTTAATAAACATTAAGTTGTCTCTGTTGCAACACACAAAGAAGAAAGAAATATGTATTTGTACATACATATAGTAGTGCTCCTTGTGAAAGAGTTCTTCCAGGGAAGTACTGCCACCTTTCCTATTTCAGCGACCATTACTGCGTTGTGAAGGGTAAGGGTGCTGGTGAAATTACAGGCACATGGGACTTGTCAACTTATGTCGCAGGGTGACAGGCAATGACAGTGCCATTCAGACAGGTCGCTTACCACTAGGTGCGCGTTTTGTTCTTCCCGTCGTCACTGTCATAAAAAATATAGTTTCACATTGTCAGAAGCTAGCTACAAAATGAGAATGGGTATTGGTGGCTTAAGAGGGAGCAGAGGAAAAATTCCCAATCTTCGATTTGATTTTAGAGGGGTATATCCACTTTAAAGTTAAAAATAAAATATTGTATGAGTAACTACACAATATATTCAAGCATAGACATTAATCAGAAACATAAAACATTAAAGTTTCCTCAATAGATAAAAATCACGAAATGACCTCTAATTTTCACATTTTTTCGATTTATCCTCGAAATGCTACAGGTTATTAGGACGAAAATTAGATAATTAATTATATTTATACATGATCGACAACTGTCACTACGGATTTTTTTTAATCCCTTTAGTTTTAGAGTTATTCCGCTAAAACGAATTTGGTACTTTTAATGCGCAAAATTCAATACCTCCTGTCGCATGTCACGCGAACTTCAGGCATATATTTGTTTCACAAATTTGGGCGGAGCCAACGTCAAAATTTTTTTGGCATGAGAGCTCTTAATATATAATGTAGTTCCATTACAAGTAATTAGTATTAATATGTCCATGAAAACTAATTAAACACTCCACTAGATTCTCACAGTTTTATGCAGCTAGGTAGCTGCAAAAATTGAAGTGACATCGCTGTTTCCCAAAATATCCTTTATTTATTTATTTATTAACCTATATTATACTGATAATTCAATTATATTAATGAATTACTTAATCTATAACATCAGCGCATCCTGAAAACACATAGATCTCTCCCAGCTCTATCCATCTGGCTCTGTCCCTTGTCAGCCTAATCCATAGAGGTCCAGCTATTTTTTTAAAATCATCGGACCATCTTTTAAAGGGACGACCTTTTTTCCTCTTGACATTTTCTTTGGGTAACCATTCTGTTACCTTTCTGGTCCACCTTTCTACTCTTGCCCTGTACATGCGGCCAGTCCACTTCCACTTTAGTCTTTCGCTTTTTGTGGTGACATCCTCCAATTTAGTAGTCCTTCGTATGTCTGTAGCTCTCCCTTTGTCTCTTAGAGAGAATCCCAGCATACTTCTCTCCATTCCTCTTTGACAGGTTGTGAGTTTCTGATGGTGTTTACTAGTCAATGCCCACATTTGGCATCCATAAGTCAAAATTGGGAGGATCCTTTACTTAATTAACATTATTTATAAATGTAAAGTAACAAGTACCTGTGCACAAAATCAACACAATATCTGTATATGACAAGGTCATTAGGGAATTTGAGTAAGTAACAAAGTAATCTTCCTAAATCAAATAATTTCGCTGCAGAACGTCAAGCAAAATTTTTACAAGAGCAATCGAGTCAAGATGGGGAGCCCAAAGTTGAAGTCGAGATAGTCAAGATGGAGCCTGCTGATGAGACTGACCTCGGGTCGCCAGGGTCACCTGGACCTGATGTCTTGGATGATCAGAATTGTAAGTTGGTTACGAGGTTATTTTGAATTATCAAACAACCTGTTTTAGTAGTAGGTCTTGCACTATACGTTTTAAGCATGTGTTTTTCTTCTTTGGTGGCCCTAATTTCTCTGGAATTTTTCTTTTTGTTTGTTCTATCTTTGTATTAACACAGACAATATACTACTATACTACAATATAATACTATAGATACTCAACCTCATGCAAAGATATGACACACTCGTAACTCCGCTTATTCGGATGCTTGCTTTTTTAACGTTGATCAATATGATGGTACCAAGTAAACCCGCCTTGCGATTGTAATATATTTGAAATGGCAAACAGATGGCAGCAATTATATTTTTATCATTGTATATTATTGTATATACAATGACAAAAATATAATTGCTATAAAACATATAATAAAATCGTAAATAAGCTAAGTATCTACTTTTAATGTTTTAAAGTATAAATTAGAGCTAAAACGTTGCCTAGTTTAAGGAGTAAATACAAAGTAATGCCATCTACACAATTTATTGCAAATTAACAAATGAAAATTGAGAAACCTTCAATTTCTTATCTTTTCAACCTATGCATAGTTTATTATTTTCACTAATTATAATAATTGTAAATTAATTGTAATTGAACATTCCTAAATTGTTCTTTAAATAGTTTTGCAGGTCTCTTTTAAATAGAGTGATGATATGCATTCTCGCCATATTTCACGAATTAATAATAGAATTAATGCTAAATCGTCTAAAAATATAAAAAAAAATATATTCTGTACAATATTCTGGCTAATCGTATCTAGTAAAGTATTGCAAAATTATCCCTAAATCGTATTCACCGCGGGAGGGCTGTGACCCCGCCACCCGCTACACCGAGCGATACGTAATCTTTCTCAATCGCTTATTTACCTGTTTTTT